AGAGAGGAGAGTTCGCCATGCTACAAAAGGGCTTACTGGTTGCCTGACAGTGGACTGATAAACATGTCAACATGATTTCATGTTGTCTAACCCAGACATGACATCAGTTCCAAGAAGAACAAAAGACGGCATAGTTGAAGTCGATATTCCCAACAGAGTGAATTCATGTAACTCATACATGTTCGGGGTTGACCTAGGAGACCAGCACCGGTCTTATTACCCTGTTGGTAGACCAAGCCATAAGTGGTGGAGGTATCTATTCTGGTACCTGATTCAGACCACCATCAATGCTTATCTTCTATTGAAGAAGATAAATACCAATTCCCCGCTCAGTCAGAACCGTCTCAGGTTCCGATCAAAGCTTGTTCAGCAACTACTGACCATGAAGGCAGAAACCTCATCAAAAAGGGGTTGCCTTAACAATCTAAGTGTTGCAGGGATTGCCAGGCCATTCAGCCCCCAGCATATGCTCTCTACAATGCCAGGCAGAACAAGAAGGTGCTACCAGTGTTCCGTGGACAGGGAAAAAATGCCCAGTGGCAGGACCAAAGAGACAACTAAAGGCTGCCATCTTGCCAAGTATATCTGCATGGTGGACATTGCTACAGTACATATCATGAAACTTTAAAGAAGAAATTTCTCTTATACAGTTGAATTACAGCTGAATTAAGGTGGTCCATGGGGGAAAATATCAATATTTATATAATTTTTATCAAAAATGTGATTATGGTGAATTTTACTAGATAATCATCTAAGGAACATTTTGGTTTTTACCATTTTCATAAAAAAATAATTTAAAGTTGTTAAAAATGTATTTTAAAGTAGTATGGTAAGAGCAAATTTTGACTTCTGGGGCAAAAGTCAGGCCCCATAGACCCCCTGGCGCACCCTTCGCTTTTATAATTTAATTTACAACGCAATATAGTCATATTTGGTATCGATGGAAAGCTTAGCCTCTCTACTCGGTAATGGTATCGCCCACTAAAATGTTCAGAAATAAGGCTGGCAGGAGCTCTTTGTGCGGCAAAGCCTCTATATTTTCGCTGCTCGAACAAATTTTCTTATTGGTCGAGATTCAAAGTTTCAATAAATGTGGATATTGTCATTGGTCAACTATTTTTAGACTTCATCAACAAGTCAGAAATCTATCCCACAATCGGTGGCCGTCTCCCAAATTCATCGTGTCCAGTTAGCGTAACCTTTTATCGATCGATCGAATTTACTTTTGCAGTCTTCAAATAAATTCAAATTTGAACTTATTTTCTTGCTTTAAAAAGGTAAGTTGAATTAATTATTGTATAATTTAATTTATATTTAATAGTTTTAGCTAGTTTTAGGCGTTCGAGCGAAGGTTGAGCTAGGTTTCGTATAATAATACAGTGTCATTATCACTAGGCCTACTTACTAGTATTAATAATACTACTATGAAACAGTGATATACGCATACATAAAAATGTAATGAGCGTAGGCTTATGAATCAAATTGAAAGCTACTTTATGCCTAAATATACAAAATTGTAATACAAAAAATATTTCAATATATTCATTACTATTTTTCATTACGTTCGTGTCCTTACACGTCTCTAATTTGATGTGACATTTTCAATTTCAATGTGATGGTAATAATGATCAATGTAAATTGTAAATGAATGCAAAATTTGAATAGGCCAAGAGTCCAGGATTTCCTAATTTGTACTTATTAAAACAGATAATAATGTAATAAAAGTAGAAATCTTGCCATTTCCTTAGATTTAAAAAACAAAAAAAAATACTGTTTCTATTTACCTTTGCCAGGCTAACTAGGAGCTAATTGCTCAGTCTAATACTATTATAATTTTATGTTTCAAAAGCTAATAACTTTTTTTTCATAATACAGAAAATCCCTGCCCCCAAGAACAAGTGATCCAAGTCCAAGTAACTAGAGAAAGCCAGACTAGCACCAACTTCACCGCAAGCCTCAGCACTAGCCTCACCGCCAGCTTCGGCACCAGCCTCAACGCCAGCTTTGGCACCAGCCTCACCGCCAGCTTCAATATCTGAAGAATCTATGGCATCGTATGCTTCGAAGAAAAAACTTCATGCTTTGGAATATCAATCATACCGTAGGCTTCTCTGCCTCATCTATCATGCAGATAGATGCCCTCCAGCCCATTTTTCAAACGTTTTCATGCCCAGTATGCAAGTAGGACACTTCAAGGTTCACAGTGATGAAAATAACTTTATAGACTAGCGTTATTTTTAAAAGTCGTATGTAATGTATGTGACGTTGTCATCCCATCATCTGACATGTTAGTTGTATGCAAAGGCAACATTTTTTATGTCAGCAAAAGAGCTGTGACAGCATCATTAGTGACTGGATTGTGGCATGCTGGTATGGGGAAGTTTTTCCAAATAATGGATGTACCAAACATTCACCAAAAGACAATCGACCAGAATGCTAAACTACCACCCTGCATCAATCGCTACCAATCTACAAGGATAAGTTGCAAAGGTAGTAGACATTGATGATGGTCCTATGATGGGAGTTGGCTCACTCAGGAGGGAAAGTGTTATATCTACATACCTCACACTCACATGATAGAAAATTTTTCCAGCATTTTTTATATAATCCTGTTATTTACGACAAGGGGTTGCTTTTAAAAACATGACTTATTATTTTTTATCATTTACATCTGTGTTTTTATATTGTTTTTTCATTTATGAATAGTATATGTACATGGTAATGCATCCAATATTGTTCAATAAGTAGTCCTAATTTTTTTTTAAATATTTTGTTTTTCTCAACTTTGCGTTTTTTCAGATTTTCAGGAATGCCAAATGCATCACGAGGAAAAGTATTATAGCTACAGGCTTCAAACTTTCCATTCTTTTTACCATTGATATTATCTACATAATAACACCTCCTTCTTTTAGATCTGTCAAGCAGAGATTTAAAAATTATTTTTATTATTAATATAACTTTATTTGGGATGGGGGGGTTGTTATTTTGAAAACATGACTTTATTAATTTTATGTGTTATATATCTGTGTTTTTTTATTGATTTTTAATTTATGAATGGTTAATGTACATGATATATACATCCTACATTGTTCAAGTAGTCTTTAATTAAAAAAAAAAAATAATTTTCGTTTTTCACAACTTGGCGTTTTTCAGATTTTTCATGGACGCGAAATGTATCAGGAAGAAAAGTATTACAGATACAGGCTTCAAACTTTCCATGCTTCTTACCATTGATATTATCTACACAATAACACCTCCTTCTATAAGATCTGTCCAGAAGAAATTTTAAAACTATTTTTTGTTTATTAGAATGTTTTTATTTGGGACGGGGTTGATGTTCTGAAAACACAACTTTATTAATTTTTCTATCTTTTATATCTGTGTTTTTATATTGTTTTTTCATTTATGAATGGTACATGTACATGGTGTATGCACCCTATATTGTTCAAGTAGTTTTTAATTTAAAAAAAAACATTTTTAAACTTCTTTTTCGTTTTTCTCAACTTCACATTTTTCAGATTTTTTAGGAATGCCAAATGTATCAGGAGGCAAAGTATTATAGCTACAGTCTGCAAACTTTCCATGCTTCTTACCATTGATATTATCTAAATAATGACAAGTCTTCTTTTAGATCTGTCCAACAAAACTTTTTAAATTATTTTTTTACATATGTTACCCCCAGATATTTTGCCCAAAGTTTATGTGACCCCACATATGTCTAGGGGTGTGCCGGATCCGTTTTTTCCAACCGGATCCGGATTTTCTTATGCGAAATCCGCCGGATCCGGATTTTGGTTCAATTGCCATTGGCCACTATTAGCGGTGCTGACTCTAGCCTCTGGTATGTTTTCGGAATATTAAACATTCAACAAGCTCAACGCTCGAAACAATCAATTAATGTATCGTGAGGAATTCGGGAAAGAGAATTACTTTTATTTCAGATTATGATCCGATGAGTCACAAAATCTGGCAAATTCCGAAATCCGATATATTCCGGATTCCGGTTGTTCCGGATAAATGTAAATCCGGCGGAACCTGATTCCGGCACACCCCTACATATGTCATTTGTAGATGCTCCAATAATTGTAATACAGAAAGCTGGGTGTCATTTTTTTAACAACTGTACTCTTAATGAGTGTGCAAAGTTTCATTATGATGTTGAGAAAACTTTTGGTGTTGATACATTTTGCGAAACTGTCAATAAAATTTTATATTTTTTGCAACAAAAGTCAAAAAAAAATTTTTTTAAAATAAACTATGTTTTTTTGTCTTTCTGTTGGTGTATAGTTAGTATGTACTAAAAAAAATAATTGTAATTTAAGAAACAGAAATTTTTTTTTTTGACCCATGGACCACCTTAAATGTTGAAAAAAAGGTGCAAGAATGCAATTTTGTTATAATTTTTATATTTTGTATTGTAGTTTGTTCTTGTTGTACCACTAATGTTATATTTTTCTGAAAGCCCATCCATTTCTTAGTGCATTGATGTTTTTAAAATGTCAATTTACTACTGTTATGGTATTATAAAAAATTTTTTAAAGACATGTTATTGAAATCGGAGTAGCTTCCCTTTGTTCAGGAAAATTTAGTTGAACAGAAGTGAGGGCTCAAGAGGGAATGAGTTAAAGAAATCTTGTACCATAAAACATCTTTCCTTCCATTTAGGAATAAAGTTAACATGTCAGAATGCCTGCTCAGTAAAGGGGAGAGTATTGATGACCTTTTCTTGGTTTTAAAGTTTTATGCATGCAATTAAAATGCCAACATTTAAATATCATTTTACCAGACCCTTTCAGAGTCTTATTAAAATGTAACAGGCAGCGATATGTAAATATGAAAATATAACTTATTCTTTTAAAAAATGCATATCTTAGACCTAATTCTAAGCCTCATATTCGGGAAATTGTATCAGCATTTAGTAGGTATGAATTATGTTAAAATCATTGGCTTAGAAAAATAGAAATGGCTTAAATTAAATTTTAAGAAAAAAAAAAAGATTACCTTGACAGAATTTAGTTTGTTAATGCGAGGTCTGAAATTGTTTGGGTCACGACGAAAGGTGATGTCTAATGACTCCAAGAAGCTGTTCATTCCATTTAACAATGACTGGGGTCTGGAAACAGTATAGGTAAGTAGATATTAGTATCATGTCTAACTATTTTCATTTCAATAAAAGAACAGTTTAATTTTTTTTACAGATAATGACTATATGTCAGAAAAATGCTTACGAATTAGCTGTTGTCTTCATGGAGGGAATACCGTCAAATACAACAACACGGTCAGCTAGGTAGGTGGCCATGATAAAATCGTGTTCCACAACAAAGGCAGTCTTTTTGGCATGGAGGATGAATCTAGAGTGAAGCATATGAAAATAAAAGGTTTGATGATAGCTACCAGACTGGTAAACTTAAACAGCTATATATATGTATGGGAGAGAGAATGATGTGTATATAGACACATGCTGATTACAGGATAAAATATACCCAAAGCCAAAAAAGCTACTTTTTCCATCATAAGAAATGGTAAATCAGTAGGTCATGAAAAGATACATAGATACTCATAGCTGCAAGGACAAAAGCCTCATATTCGGGAAAATTGTATCAACACTGGAATAATGAACCTGAATTATCGAATCACTGGCTTTTTTAATTCAGCAGTACCATTTTGAAAAGCCAATTCCTACCTCTTGATGACTTTAGCAGCATGCAAACGCTGTTCAGAATCCAAATAAGCAGAAGGTTCATCTATCAGATATATATCCGCAGGTTTTCCAAGGCACAAAGTCAAAGCAACACGTTGCAACTCACCTCCAGAAAGATTTTGAACCTTAAAGAAAAAAAAACTTCATGAAAGAGGACCAATGTACTTTAAATTAAACTCATGTACTATAAATGTGACCATCTCACTTCTAAACATAATCTATTTTACATCAGTCCTCAGCAAATGGTTGTGGTGTCTGTTTCTCACCAAAAGCAATTCTGAGTGGTGCATGACAAAGCTTCATCATTGGACTTAAAATTGATTATGTGAGACTTGATTTACAAAAAAAAAAAGTTTGTTATTTTAAAGCAAATCAACTAATGCAATAGTTGTATTATCAGGCTAAGTAATTAAATAATTTTTCTAACAAGATGAAGTGCTCTCAATGCAGCAGGAAATAAGTTTTAAAACTAATACTGGTAAATAAATATATAAAATAAACAACCCCTAAAATCAAAGTTTTGTAATATCAAGCAATGGGGTGCGCCAGTAAATGACAAAACATGCATTTAGGTAACACACTTTAAAAGAATTCCAATAAGTAACAGCCCCCCCCCCCCCAATATTTTTCCCCCCCCCCTCACTTGTTTTAACCCCCTATTGTCCAGCATCTTTCACACCACAGATTTATTACACCATTTTCGTGAAGCAAAAGAAAATATTACACCTAGTTTGCATTTTTTTAAAAGAAACTCATTTAGCAGTTATTGAAGATAACTGGTACCATTAAAATTGATTTTGGGGGTTGGAGTGGGGCTTTAAGTTTCAAAGCATGTGTAATGTGCATGGAGTGTATGTGCCAAGTTTAAGATCAACAGAATGACTCGAAGGTGAATACATTAGCAGTCCGAAGATTTTTTTTTTCAACAAAGAAACACTAACAAAAGGGAATAATATTAAGGAATTAAAAATAAGGTGCCTTATCTGTGAAAAAGCAACATTGAAAATTATTAAATAAAAATCAATTGCCATAGGCAAAAGCAATGCAGAGAACTGTCCTCAGTTTATTTATTGTGGTGTCTATTTCTCACCAAAGTCGTAGTCTGAGTGGTGCATGACATATTTTCATCACAGGACAGTAAAGATTGACCAAATAATGTAAAAGACCACACACATACCTCTTGATCAAAAATAGGTTCAATCTGCAATGGCTTCAGGACATCTGTAACAAACTGAGGATGGACATAAGCATCTCGGATTCGCTCATGTAACAACTGTCTGACTGTGCCTTGATGTTTAGGACTGATCTTTTGGGGTTTATAGCTGACATTAAGCACAGGTATCTCACCTTGAAAAATAATATAGTTATACAATATTTATGTAAAGACAACAATATAATCAAATAGAAAGAATAATAATTCTATATACTAATAATTCCCCTTAATCCTCAGATATTTATTGAGGTGTCTTTTATCACCATCAAGGCAGTAAGCGTGGTGCATGACAAAATTTCATCATAGGACATTTTTCATCAAGTAAGAAAGAAAAAAAACACCAAACACACCACTTGTTTTTGTGTAAAATTAACTAATTTGACAAGATAATTCGTTAAAATACATTAGCATTTAACTTTTAAAATCATACCATATTGTCACAAAATCGTACATTACAATGTCATAATATTAAATAAATAAAGATACAGTATACATATACGTAATAAAACAAAATAAAACATACCTCCACCATCTGGCGCCAGACGTCCAGCCAACATCTTGATAAAGGTTGTTTTGCCAGTTCCATTCTCTCCCAACATAACAATAATCTCTGAGTCAGTGAATTGCCCGGCTAGAATGCTCAATTCAAATTCACCTTGAAAAAAAGGGACAGTAAACTGTTGATATATATGGCTGTAAAAAAAATGGAGGGCTTAATTATAATTACATTTCTTTATATATATATACACGTACATGGCATCCTTCCGTCTACGTTAGACGATGGAGTAGCTATGTAGTGTAGTCCAACGAGTGGCTAACTAGCCCAAACCCGGAATGACAATCTCAACCGCATCTCTCACAGGAGAATATTGATTCCTGAAAAGATTTTGACTTCAGCATTGTTCTTTTTCTTGCAAGGGCCTCGTTTTCGCGTATCTTCTGCCTTTTTTTCACTTAAATGCACTGCTGTTCGCCAGATGGAACGTTGTTTGGCAATGTGCTCCCATTCGTTGTTTTCAATATTGGCTTCCCTCATGCTCCTTTTGCAAAAGTCCACAAATCTCAGGCGTGGCCGTCCAATAAGTCTTGACCCTTCTGCCAACTCTCCATACAGCAGCATCTTTGGGATATGTCCTTCCTCCATCCTCCTTACATGGCCTAACCATTGAAGGCGCCTCTTGCTAAGAAAGGAGAATATGCTAAACGTGTGCACGTTCCAAGACCTCCGCGTTAAAATGTGACGCAGACATCTTTGATGGAAGCTGTTGAGCTTCAACTATTGACTGGTATATGTGGTCCACGCTTCACCATCATATAGGAGCGTACTAAGCACACATGCCTGATAGACACTTATTTTTGTTTTATCAGATTGAGATTATTCCACACCCGCTTATTCAGTTTAGCCATAGTTGCTGCTGCTTTTGCAATCCTGATATTTATCCCTTCATCAACGGAGGGAGTACTAGAAATATTGGATCCAAGGTATGTGAAATGCTTAACAACCGAAAGATTATGACCCTTATAGATATTTTTGGAGGGGACGATGCCTCTTGCATCATTACATGTGTTTTCTGTAGACTAATCGAATTTTCTATAGACTAATCGAAAGTCCAAAGTCTTTACAAGCATGTGATAGACGATTAACCAGCATCTGCAGACTAGTACAAATTAATGTAGGGCCTATGCAGACAAACTTTTTAAAAATCAAGTTAGAATATACCTATATCAAGTTTGAAGCATACATCTTATTGATTAATTTAAAAAATTTTTTAAAAACAATTACCTAATTTTTTGAACATCTGTGGATATTCATATCTGCACATCCGCTTTATTTCTTCCTCCAAAGCAGTTTCAGCCACTTTAAAGGTAAGGGACGTCTCTCGGAACCTCAAGTTTTCAGTTGGCACAAATCCATCAAGGAAAATATTTATACCTGAAATGTACATTAATAATAAATTTAAACATAAGTGATGATGATTGAGTACTTCAATAACACTTGTGTCCATGCTATCTAGCATGCTCACAGCGCTCTGATGTCCTAAAGATCTATTTAAATTAACAAGTCTTAAGCACATTGAAACATACAAACTTTAAAATAGACTGAATACATACCTTCTCTAACACTGAAAGGCATAGTGACCACACCATAAGCACCAGGAACACCATACAAACAACAAATGAAGTCAGAAAGGTAATCAAGCACTGACAAATCATGCTCAACAACTATAATGTATTTGTCTGGGTTAATCAAGCTTCGAATGGCCTGAGCAGCTTTTAAACGCTGCTTAACATCTAGGTAACTGGAAGGCTCATCAAACATAAATCTGCAAGTTAAAAAAATAAGAAACGTATACTCTGATCACGTTTGGAACTTAATTAGATATTTACTAAACTTGAATTTTGTTATGTGCAGTTCATTGCCAGAGGACAAGAGAATGAAAATTTACAACTAAAAGCCATCTTAAATTAAAACAATGCATAAATCTTACATGTCAGCATCCTGTATGCAAACTATTGCAATGGCAAATCTTTGCAACTCTCCTCCAGAAAGATCTTCAACATTTCTGTCCCTTACATTCATAAGATCTATTTTAAAAAATAATAAACAAGACTAATCATATGTCAAAAAAAATACTAAATAATCATATGTAATCTAAAGAATACTAAATAAGCTCCAAAAGTTTATAATAAATGAAATGGTCTCATTCTAAACATATTTTTCCACACTGTTTTATTAAGAATGTGAACAGCAAATGTAATTTAATCATTGACCATGGACAGTTATGTACTTCAATATACATGTCTTTCATATAAGTTAACAAATCAATATAAATCCCACCAACACTTAATGATCTGATAGCTATGTATTCACCTAGCTGTTCACATACGTGCATCTGATTTTTAAGTTCATCCTTTTTGTCTAGCAGTTGTTGTACAGATCCCTGGAAATGGGAAAGAAAAATTAAAATAGACTCATGCCACATTATAGCCGACAAACAAAAATATGGTACATAAAATTTTAACCATAATGAAACAATATTCTAACACATATCCATTACCTTAACAGCCTTCGGTATTTGATCCACATACTGAGGCTTGATTAGAGCCTTAAGATCATCTTCAAGAATCTTGGTAAAAAAGTTCTGAAGCTCTGAGCCTCTAAAATACTCCAAAATTTCAGTCCACTCAGGAGGATCCTTCAAATGAAATATACAAATAGAGTGGGATTAGTTACAAAAACAAAAAAGCACATTCATAAATGCATTATAATGAAGGCCTGAGATATCTGGTCAACATTTAACACTTGCTCATAGGTTATTTAAAAAAAAAAAAACAACCACCTAACTGTATGAATCACATTTCAGATGATTGATGCTTCCTTCATTCTTTGAAAATTTAAGGAAGATATGAATGTTGTTAATGGCATGAATGACTTGAAAACACCCAAACTACATGCAGTTTCATAACACAGACCAGTAATTGGCAACAAATGGCACATGAGGCGTTTAAAGAATTATATGCATTTCACTTTTTAATATATTAAGTTAAAAAACCATGCTCCCAAAACAATTTATTTGGAAATTTGAAAATTGCACCTCACTCAAGAGGTTTACAGACCCTTTGTCATGGCCCCACATCCACATGAATACAAACTATCAAGAATTGACGAATGTTAATTTAAGTTTTAGAACAATCAAGTGAATAATATAAATCTGGAAGTTGCCTTAAGCAGCATTAAATATACATAATGGGGAAACATTATTATTTACAAAATAAAGCTATGTATATCTTGTGGATCAAGCACTTGAATGCATTTGTGTATGTGCGTTTTAATTTCCTTTTAGCCTTACATTGAATCTTCCAAGATTGGGCTTCTGTTTTCCAGCTAGAATTTTTAATGCGGTAGATTTTCCAATACCATTAGTGCCGACAAGTCCCAGAACCTCACCTGGTCGAGGAGTTGGAAGCCTGATTTGTAAAAATGTTTTTATTATTAAATGTTTAAATTTTACTTTTCAAACTTCAAAAAATTAGCACTGATGAAAGACATGGCAAGATCTTTACACTATAAAATTGACCAACCTGTGCAGTTTAAAAGAATTAGCACTGTAACGATGAGTTGTATCTCGCTCCAAGTTACTTGGAAGGTTAATGATAGTAATGGCTTCAAATGGACATTTCTGAAAACAAAATTAAAACATTGTCCACTAAGTAAAAACCTTTTAAACAGTAGAGAATTTATGTTAAGTCAAAATATATTAAAGAAATATGTTCCAAAACAAAAAAGCTTCTCACCTTGGAACATATACCACACCCAATACACAACTCCTCAGAAATAAATGCTATCTTGTCAGTGGGTGACACTTCAATGCAGAGTTTTCCTAAATTAAAAAGAATAATAAGCAAACAAGTGTGAGTTAATGCATTAAAAGAAATGTGGGATTCTTACCAACTGAATTCAATAGTTGACAACATTAAAAGTTTGTGTTCTGTAAGAAGAATATCCATGTTTAAAAGAAAAAAAAACCACTACTACCAATTTAAACTTCAGAGAAAAAATTGTGTCAAATTTTGCCCCTTGGCATTGTAAGATGTCGTCCCTTAATATTACGGCCATAAGCATTACACACAGATCTTTCCAATGTGGCCCCAAAATGCACAAAGCAGATCATGGCGCATTATCATTACTAAAATATCAACATCAACTTAAACTAGCTTGTGCAATTTATCAAAAACTTGTAATGAATCTTAGTAACTTGGGCCTACAGATAAGCCCTGTCAAGAGGCTACTGAAGAATTACATTCTGAAGAATTAGGGTGGGGAAATGACAAAATTGACTTACCCATACGCACCACTGGGCAAAACTTTTTACATTCTTGCCTGCATCTCTTTGGTTTACATTTGTCATTGCTAACAATTGCAATTCTAGTGAGCTGGTCGTTAGCAGACTCATTTTTAGTCTGCTTTCTTTTTGATGAAGACATTATGCCAAACTTTCTGTGGAAGGAAGGAAACGCGCAAAAATTATGTGGATTTGTTAATTTTTTCTTTCGGGGGGATTTCGGGTCCCCCACTATAAAAAAAGTTATGCCACTTGTCCTCTGATCTTAAGACATTCAGATTACAGAAATCATATTGTAGAGAACCTTGATTCGTTTCTGTTAAACCTTTAATCTGTATCTCATTTGGATGGTAACACTTGCTTCAACTATCACTCGTATTTCACCAATTCAGACAACTCGTGCAATGGTTATAGTAGAGATAACAATACTTGTCCACGCACCGTTCTGCGCATGTCCTAAAATGTCGAAAAAAACGTGTTCTGCAATATGGCGTACAGCAACACGGTATTATTGGAAAATTGCAGACTACGTCACCTCTGTTTAATAAATAATTGCTTTCCTCATCACTGACGTATCAGTTTTTGTGTTCCGGTCATATATTGATTTATGCTACGATATTTTTTTGCACCACAGGCAGTATTATTATGATGACTCGGTTAGTATATAAATCGCATAAATACTTTTTTACCAGTAAAGCTACCAAAATAAGGTTTAGTGCTCCCTAATCTACATTCATTGTTAGAGTTTTTTCTTTTGTGTTATTATCGTTGAGCTCTCGATAAAAAGTTATGCAACCCGCGAAAAAGTGGGGGGTATGAAATTATCATTTTTTTTATTTTGATCGAGAAGCCGGAAATGTATCACTGTTATTCGTTAATGTTAAATCCTTAAACATCTAAATAATTATAAGACGTTTAAAATGTATCATTTTAAGAAAAGATTATAAGCAAACTTGAAAAGTTTATGTAGTAACCAAGGGTTGGTTTTAAGTTTTATTTATTACGTTAAAAATTGTGTATGGCACCGGTACATAGTTTATCGTTCATTCATTATTGAATCACTATTTAATAGTTTTACAATAGTAATATCGATAATAGTTTTTCTCTTATTAATTATTTCAGAGAATATTACTAAAATTAGGCCTACTTATCATTATCAGTTATAATTATAAACAACTGTTATTATAATCATTTTAGGCCTAAGCTTAATTTTTCTTACTAATTCTATTACAAGCCTATAAGTTCTATATATATAACTTATAACAGTTTTATTAAAATACATCAAATTAATAAACAAGACTCAAACAACATCATCATAACAATTATATTTTTATTAGGACATAGAAAAGCAGTATATAGACAATTATTCAATATATAAAATAATTTTTTTAAATGAATTAGTCTCATCATCATACTATCATCATGGATGATATTTGAGTAATTTGAATCTATAATTACATGCTTTCCAATTTTATAAATAAAAAAGACTACTTACCTTTTTATAAATATAATAATTGATTTAAAATTAACACAAGCATAATAAAATTAGTTAAAATTCAATAAATAATAATAAATATGGACATGTGGGTTTTTTTCTAGTTTTTTCTTGTATAAATATTGATTTTCCCAATTTTTCTTTTCACTTTTTTTCTGAACATACCCACAAATAAATTTATAAAAAAATAAGTCTTAATCTTATATAAGTGTTGTTGTTTATTATACTGTATATTGCATTGAGAATGTCTCCTGAAAATTTGGTAGCATTATCTTTTAAAATCAAAAAGTTTTGGTTAAAATAAGGCAGAAATTTTGAAAGTGGGTCACATGTTTTTTCAGTTTAACCCATTTAATACGTTTCGCCGCAGTGTGCGTCACCGCGATTTCGGCAGAGTACGTTTAGCCACTCTCTGCGTCACCACTGGTTTGTTTCATTTTATTAGTATTCCAACTTTTCCATTCAACTATTTTATAATATAGCTTATCAATTTTTTATTCAGAAGAGTTCCACTTCCTTTGTGTTGAATTTTAAACCGAATAACCCACGTTTAGTGTATTTTGTGCTCGTTTTTTCCACTTAAAAATTTGTAAACAAAACACAGCTGATTGAAATGGCTGCATCGAATAACAGTGCTAGTTCTAATCGACAAGGATTTCGATCTATGACTGCCGATGAGGCAAGTAAATTGATTTGCTTAGACGATTCAAGTTCAAATGAAGATAAATCTGACAACAGTGATAGTGATAGTGATTACGAAAATGTATTATTTGAGGAAACTAGTGATGAGGAATATATTCCGACTACAAAGAGACAAAAAGTATCCATTGGAAAAGGAAAAGGAAAAAAAAAATCAACACCAACTAGGCCTAGTTCAAGTTCTACTAATTCTGTGGCTTCAACTTCAAAGCATAATTCATCTTCATCTAAAACTAGTCAATCTACTAGTTCAAATTATTTCCCTACTGAGACAGAGTGGTCCGAAGTCCAAACAGGTGAACTCGTACATTTTGTTTTTACTCTGTCAAGCAGCAGATGCAAACAAAGTAAAAATGAGTCTAAAACAATATAAACTTATGTTGATGCGTCAGCTAACAGAGGAAGTAGCATTAATTCAAGTACTAAAAGCACCAGGAAAGGGTCCAGAGACCGGATGCCTCAAAAAGTGTAATGATGCTCAGCACATTGTTGATTATCATGAAAGGGACCGATCTTGTGCATATTGCTCAACTGCAATAAAGCGAGTACGCACACATTTCTATTGTACTGGGTGTGAATCCAAACCCCATCTCCATCCTAAAGGATGCTTCAAGGCCTTTCATTTAAAATAATAACTTCATTTGTGTATATATTTAGTAAATATGTGAAATATGTGTAAATATTTGAGTATAACTATTTTTATTGTTGAATTTTTGAAAAAAAAATTTTAACACGTGTCTTGGGAAAGAAATTCATAACTTTACAATTTCTGGAGCTACTGCAATGAAACTTTCCAGTTGTTTTGGATGTATCACAAGACTCATTTAAAAAAAATATGAACTTGATTGGATTATTGTTATCTGATTTCTGAGCTGGTGAGTAAAGCAAAACCAAATAAATTTTAAATAATTTTTTACATAAACCTGCAATAATACCCCCAAAAATTTTCTTTGGGTATTTCTTTATCACTTTTTTATACTAGAAACATATTCCTTTTTCAATTACCTACATTTGGATATGCAGCATGATATAATTTTGATAAATAACAAAACAGAGCTTTTCAGTTTAAAATCATCAGGTCAAATAGAATTTTTGTCCCAAAATTTTACTGCGTTCCCTTAAAAAAATGTGACGTATTGAATGGGTTAATACTAAGATAAAGAAGGGGTGTTTACAAAATCACCAAAAAAATCATAACTCCACTTCTATAAAAGATAGAAAGATGAAATTGGTGTTGTAAAGCTTATAGCTGGCCCTTTAAAATGATGTGTCATTCATGGCAATTTGACAATATTTAAATTTTGTGTCCAAGTACCTAGTTATAGTCTTGTTCTTTTATTGTTCTGCTACTTCGCTTTGGCTTTCTCATCTCGCACGCAACTCTAACTCTCCTCTACTCCTACCCATCGGAGCTCTCAGACTGTCTGCTTCCCTGTCCGGCTGACTTTTCCTCAGTCCTGTCCAGCAGTCCCTTTTTACAAGTCTCCGCGCCCCTAGAGATTCATTCCCATTGCTTTAATCTTAAACCCAAATCTCAGGCACTTAAATTTCTTAGGAAAACGCTTGACTAGAGCACAATGCAGAAGACTATTTACAAAGCCAATTTTTCACATTCACATTTATCATTTTTAAGCTTGGCATATTATGGATTATATCCAGAATGACACTTATTCAAAATTAAATGTATCCAACAGATTTAAGGTAAAGTACAAGTGAGAAATTTGAAATGGGGAAAATGTAAGCTTCAACTTTTTTGGCCTAACAAAATTTTAGTTGGTTTACTACGCAGACCTTGTGGATAAATGTAACTGGAGCACTCTCATGACGATCTACAGGTGCCCCCTTCTCTAACGTAATCTTGGATGTGACAGTTGGCCTACATATTACTTACTGGATTTAGTGACTAAATATGCAGTTAGCAGAAGGGCCTGCGATTTCTAAGGCATTCATATAGGTCAAGGAGGTTCCCCAGGTCAACTACCAGCCATAGTTCTGTCTTTCAAAAGTTTTCTAAATGTATTTTTTTACCTTCTCAGTTTGTAATGTTTGTCTTGAAAAGGCTCTCCCTAGAAATTATGTTGACTTATTTTTGTATTGAAAATGGTGGAGGAGCTGATGACCCGTTAAATTACGACTACATAGAAACGAATAGCGCACTAGTACTTTATATACGACCAATCAAAAAATAGCACCGATTAGGCCTACACAATGCCATAAATGTGCAGTTAATGGCTTAGATTTTGCCAAGAGTCTTCGTTCCCCAAGTGCAGTTATGTCACGTTGGGGAGACCCAAAGCCATCACTGGACTTGAAATGACAGGATCTTAACTCTTGATGGGAATTATTGAATTATAATTTTGCCAATCTATTATCTGCAACTTAACCACTAATTCCCATTTTGATGACCTTAAACTAGATACTTCGGTAAGTCAAGGGAGACTACTACTTTTTGTGTATGGGAATTCGCAATCGGCGCAAAAAAAAATCCGAGTTTTTAATTTTCCTATGTGTGTCTATTTATTATTAAATTAGTACTTTATATATATATATTTGAGTTCCGTTTTCGGCCTTATAATTAGGTAGACATCTTGGCCTACATTTTAATCAATTACTTTTTTCATTTACCGTCAGTCAGCTTTGAGAAAATCCTTGGTAAATATAAGGCAACTTTCATCATTAAAATTAAGTTGAAGGAAAAAATTTGTCACTACCAAATTTTTTTTCATCCGGGGAATCTATTGATCTACACGTATGCCAATTTTCACAGCGATAAATGTCTTACGAGAGACGCCATGTTTCTACGCGTTCGCAGCAGGTAATGCAGCTCGCTTAACCTAATTTCGAAATGGGGTTGGCCATGCCCCCTTTTTAATGGCGGAAGTTGCCGATAATTAGGAAATATTAATTTATTATCACTATTTACATCAAAATAATTGATAACTTGTGTTTCAGAATGCATTTTAAAGACATTTAAACTGGAATGTTTTAATTTGAGCTTTAACAACCCGGTAAAATCCATATTATAAATGATCAGAATTTACTGTGTGCAACACGTTGTCATTGGCAACCATTCACAGCCACTTGCATAATGGCTGTATCGTAGTAACTACCTCAGAGTTTCATTCATAAGAGTTTGCCGTGTGCAAAAACTATTAAACCATCGAAGTGATTATTCACAGAGCTGTGCGGATAACGCTCGCCGTTATTCACAGATTTCGGTCTGCCGATAACGCTCGACATTATTCGCAGAATGTGATAAATTAAATTATGAATATAAAATACAAAGTTCATGTGTAAACATCTCCTCGGTAGTGTAGTGGTCAGTATCTTCGCCCGTCACCCGACAGATATAGTTTCGATTCCCTGTCGGGGAAGCCTCATTTTTATAAATAAATTTTTTTGTAAAATATTTAATGGTTATTTCGTAGTGTTATATCATAATAATATTCTTCATATGGCTTTCTTAATCTGTTCACATAGTTTTATTATTATTTTCATGTAGTTTTGTTACTTATGTTACAAGTTTCAATCTATTTTTTAAGAATGTTCATTCAAGTTTCGTCAAAAAACTGGAAACAACATGGACATGCAGATGAGCTGCATAAACCATGTTTAAGCCAGATACAGCTGTTCTAACTGTACATTGTGATATACTTTTAGCTCTTTTGACTGTTTAATTTTCTTTGTATAATTCCACTCATAGACTTTAACATCCATTTGTTTTTTCTCTAATAAACAAATACTTATTAATAACTTACTTATTCAAATATTTTAAATCTCAGAGTTGTGTATTAATGTTTAGCTGAAAAAAATATGTCACGTTTTATTTGTTTCATTTTATTTTCTAATAAGTATCATAAGTAGGGACACAATATGCCGCTCCAGAAATAGTTGAAATAACATTTAGTGATGACAATGAAATGAACATACAGGTACCGTACTTAAAACATATCAATATCATTGACATAAACAATTTTAGCTCTTGTAAAAAAATGTTGATAATTGAAACAAAAAGCCATACTGCCACTGTTGTAACTATGGGTCTAAATATAAAAAAAAGCATTAAAAAATTAATTGGAACCCTGCTGGTCGTAGGATGCATTGCAAGTCTTTGGGAAGTAAAGTTCCCTTGGGGCAATTGAAGCAGCGTTTACAAGTGTGAGTGTATTGCCAGCGCAATAACCAGCCAGCTTTACTTTTCCCCAGCTAAGGCCAGAGCTGGGTAGACTTAGGGACACCCTCAAGGATCAGGAAAAAATACTAGCCTTAAACAGGATTAGATTCTGTTATTATCGATGTAGGGCCTATATGCCCCTCGTCGTCTCTCACATGGCCGCCTGATGCAGACACCTCTCTGCATCATAACACTGTTGCATGGCATGTCAACTATTTTTGTCAGAACATTTCTAGACTACGTGATATATCATAGTGCTTTTAAAAAAAACTAAACGATATCCTATCAAGCTTTGACATCATTTAAAGACATATCTACAGTGGGTGAAAGTGAGTCTACATGAAGAATACCGGTACCATTTTTATTACTGGTATAACATTTAATATGAAATACCAGAAAATTTGCTATGTCTAGGAGTAGGAGGTTTGACTGGATCTATTAGTAACACTCTATAGGTCGAATATGTTGGCCCCTAACAGAGCACATGTAGGCACAATTAATTGTCCTATATCCTATATATAGGCTATAGTTAGGCCTATTAAATTTTTTAAATTTAACTTGTGCATACCGGTAGCTTCGGTTTTGAGATGTGTTTGTGCCATACTCATTAACGATCGATCTCTCCCACACTACTTAACCCTTTACAGTCCAACCTATTCAGCCTTGTCTACTCCCAGCGCCCAAGCAAAGGGACATAACTCCATTTTAAATGAAGGTTCTTTAATTAATTTTCAGAAAATAAACTAGAAGCAACAAAATAAAATAAAAAATACCTAAATACAAAGAAATGATTAAAGCAAAAGTTAAACCTAAAAATAGTTTCAGAGACCCTCCCACTCATGAAATAGTGAAGCTTCATTAGGCCTAAGTTCTTTCAAATGTGTATCCAAAGCTTAGATAGCCATTTTTTACAGCGAAAAAATCGCGACTTTTAAAAAAATCATAGAAAATCAGCCCCTAAACACACCGCGGTCAAACTAGTATCGAAATAAATGCCGACAACGAGGCTTTCTTCCGGTAGAACTATAAATAGTAATGCGCAATGGACTTCCGCTGTGCTTATCATAGAAAATCAGCCCCTAAACACACCGCGGTCAAACTAGTATCGAAATAAATGCCGACAACGAGGCTTTCTTCCGGTAGAACTATAAATAGTAATGCGCAATGGACTTCCGCTGTGCTAAGAACGAAAGTAAACAACCTCGAAACGGGCGGGTTTGGCCGCATCGGACTGTACGCTTAAGGAAAAAATCGGCGCATTTCGGGCGCATCGGACTGTAAAGGGTTAAAACTACACCCCTACCCCGGCTTGAAATGTGATCTTAATTATTTCTAGAAATGTGCGTAATTATGGGAACATTTCTGTCTAAGAATAAACGCTCCGCATTATTCGCAGATTTTGGTCTCACAGAGCTGTGTGGATAACGCTTCCCTTAAACCATTGGTCAGGGAAAGCTTTAATTAATTATTCATGTGCCAAAGTTGAAAGTTTAAACCAAGTCTAAAAAAGTATTTTAGTGATAAGGCAGGGAATGTGTTGCCTTATATAAAGTATACAGTCATTGTGCATGATGCGATGAGCGGAATGAGGTCACAAGATGTGGAGGTTTCGTCCATAGTAAAAAATACCAAACAAACTCACACTTTAAAAATTCATAACTTTAAAACTACAACAGCTAAAAATATGATTTTGGTGTTATATAATTCTTTAAAAAATTACCTCTTTACAACTATGCCATTGGTTTATTTTTACAAAAAGTTTAAATTTTCTTATTAAAGTCCCTACCTTAAACTGAGGGTGATGGCGCAAAAAATAATTTAAAAAGTAAAGATGCTTTGCAAATCATGACCTAGGCCTAGGCTACCATATGTCAATCATAAGTTAAATTAACTGTCATGTATGGGCAAGGAAATTAGAATAAGCCAAAGTCCTAAGCTTTAACAAATTTAACCAAGTAACTATGGGCAGGTGAATAAGACATCACTACTAAAAATAAAACCACTAACTATGTAATTAAAACATCAAGATTACAAGACTTTCTATGTCGACTTGAACTGGTACACGATGACGATGAAGTGTTCAGACCGGTTAATTTATATTGTACAGTACAGCATGGCGATAAAATTGATAACTTAAATTCTTTCATACTGAAAAAAATCTCATCAAATAAGTAACGATGACATCTATTACGATTCTTTGTAGGGCTAATAACTTTTTTTTTAAATTAGTTTGAAAGAATATTAAAATATTTTGTAGGTGTAATTACCTTCTACGTCCGGCTAACCACGCGCAGCCAACGTGCAAAATGGCGTGGGTTACAAAAAGGGGATAGGTATAACTTCAACTAAGCTAGCACAATTTCCTAACGGTGATGTGATCTAAAAAGTAGCACGATTAATTTTAAATCCGTAATTGAAAAAAAGATAATTCAGGATTTAATCTTTCCTAAAATAAAATATATACAACTTCATTATCAACTATTTTATCCTTATATCATATATTTAAAGTTCCAAGTTCTCTAAATTTAATTTATTTTCAGCTTAAAAAATATTTTACACATAATTTTTAAAACCTGAATATTCCTTAATTAAGACGAGGAATTTTCTCAAGCAATACAACTGCTTATTTATTAAGCATTTATTGTCATTAAAAATTAGAAATTCTGCTTTGTACTGGAATCTAATTAAGATATCCTGAATAACGTTTTGGTTTTTTAGTGAGAATTTTATATTTTAAGAAGCATTTGCACTTGTAAGATTCAATGAAATCAAATTTCTGCAATTAATTGAGATATATTTTTTTATAGATCAAATTATTATTTTTTAAAATTTTCTTACGTAAAAGGGAAGTGAAGCAGAATGTTAGTCAGCATAGTGATTACTTATTGATAATGTCATTAAATAAATGGAAACACCGTAAGAACTAGATTGTTAATAAAACGTGTTTGTATAGTTGATTTCACAAGAAATCTGTCACGTGTTTTTTTTTTTTTCCATTTTTTAACAATTTCAATGCTATTATGCCTTGAGAAATTTCCCCAGATCTTGGGAACTCACGCCCCTTTGGGCATACAATTGAGAGTAATTTTGAAAAACTAAGGAAACCTTGGGAAATTTCAAAAGTGAAAGATAAGACGAACAAAAAATATAGACTATTTATATATGAGGAGGAAAAAAAAGGGAAGAGAAGGAATTATTTTCACTGGTCCCGAGAGAGTTTAAACTTTTTAACGCCCCTGTGCTATTGATTTAAATGACGTAAGGGTGGAAGATTGTTGAATGGGACAAATATTTGATGGAGTGCGTTCAAGTTCAAGCCGTGTCAAAGTGTGAAGGAAATAGTGGGGAAAAGATATGTTATGGCTTCTGATGAAAAGATATGACAATGAAACGGACATTGATTGTAAAATGCCTTCTTCATCAAATACAAAACAAGAAACAACCGATGATTCGATTTCTTTTTTTTAAATCCTCGTTCGAAAATCTAAAGGAAGTCAATGTCGACTATGTAGCTCAATGTTAAGAACCGAGGGGTTATGTCTGTGTTGTAAATCTTAGTCGAACTAATTTCAAGCTCTATATACGTTTACCGTGACGTTAAAGTGGCGGAGTTTTCAGCTAAATGTATATTTTTGTCAGTCATTATTAATTTTTTTTTTACTTAAAATTGTACGTTTTATAAAATTGTCCCCCATTGTCATGACTACGCGAGAGCAGGGGTCAAATCTGTCGCAATTGTTGCGCGCCGGATGTTGTGTTTTATTGTGCACGCTGTGTCCAGGGCTACCACTCAATTTTTCTTTAATTCCCAAGATTTTGTCAATTTATTTCCCAAGATCATGAAAATGTATATGAATTTTTTTTTTTAAAGAATCTTGGGAATTTTTTTTTTTTTAAAGTGAGATTTTGTCATTGAATTGAAATTCCCATCATCATCGCCTGTCGTCCCGTCTGGGGCATAGGCCACAAACAAAGGCTCTCCAGGCATCCCGGTCTTGGGCAAGTCTCTCCAACTGTCCCCAGTTGTGCCCACTCTTTTTGATGTCTGCCTCCAGTTCCCTTCTCCAAGTTGTTTTGGGTCGACCTCTTTTTCTCTTACCCTGGGGGTTCCAAGTCAGGGCTTGTCTCGTGATACTTGATGCGGGCTTTCTGAGGGTGTGGCCAATCCATCTCCATCTGCGCTGGCAGATTAACTCTTCCACTGGTTCTTGTTGTGTGCGCCGCCAGAGATCCTCGTTGGTGATGACGGTGGGCCAGCGGATTCGTAAAATCGTTCGGAGACATGAGTTGATAAAGGTCTGTAGCTTTTTTGAACCAGCTGCTGTTGTTCGCCATGTTTCTGCCCCATATAGCAAGACAGGTTTCACTGTGGTGTTGAATACCTTGACCTTGGTCTGGAGGGTCAAATTGCTGCAGCTCCAGACCTTTTTTAGCTGGTTAAATGCCGCTCTTGCCTTACCAACTCTCACTCTTATGTCGGCGTCTGTCCCTCCTTGTATGTCAATGATGCTGCCGAGGTATGTAAAGCTATCCACCTCCTCAAGGTTTGTTCCTTCCAGTGCTATAGGTGTGTTGCTTGATGTATTTATTTTAAGGACTTTGCTTTTTCCTCTGTGGATGTTCAGGCCGATGCAAGCAGAGTACTGTGCTACATAATTGGTTTTCTCTTGCATCTGTTGCTGTGTGTGTGATACTAGGGCCAGATCATCCGCAAAATCCAGGTCATCAAGTTGTTTCCATAGTGTCCACTGAATACCATTTCTCTTCTGCTCTGTAGACATTTTCATTATCCAATCAATGGTCAGCAGGAATAGGAAAGGCGAGAGCAGACACCCCTGTCTGACACCGGTCTGTACCTCAAAAGCCGCCGTTGTTTGCTGGCCGTGGACAATTCTGCACGATAGTCCTTCGTAAGAAGCCTTAATTATGTCTGTCAATTTTTGTGGTACCCCGTAGTGTCTAAGCAGCTTCCACAGAGTCTGTCTGTCGACACTGTCAAAAGCCTTCTCATAGTCAATGAAGTTGACGTATAGTGACGAGTTCCACTCCAGAGATTGTTCCACAATAATTCTCAGTGTGGCAATCTGGTCTGTGCAGGATCTGTCTTTTCTGAACCCTGCTTGTTGGTCCCTAAGATTGATGTCTATTGCCTCCCTCATTCTGTTTAGCAGCATTCTGTTGAATACTTTGCTTGGGATCGACAGCAGGGTTATTCCCCTATAGTTAGAACAAGAACTAAGGTCTCCTTTCTTCGGGAGCTTAACGAGGTGTCCTTCTTTCCATTCAGCCGGTATCTGTTCCTCCTCCCATATTTTCTTGAATAGTGTGTGTAGCATTTCAGTGCTAGACGTAATATCTGCTGTCAAGGCTTCTGTCGGTATTCTGTCAGGACCTGCCGCCTTGCCTTTCTTTAGTTGTTTAATTGCTCTGCATATTTCTTGCTTTGTGGGTGTGCTGCACTCTATTTCTAGATCTTTTTCCGCTGGCTCTATGTTGAGTGTGTGTTGTGGTGCTGGCCGGTTGAGGAGTTCTTCAAAATGTTCTATCCATCTTTTTTTCTGACCCTCTTCATCAGGTATTGATTTCCCATCTTTAGTTTTAACTGGTCTCACTGGATTGTTGAACTTTCCAGATAACTTTTTGATTGTACTGAATAATTCTCTTGTGTTTCCATGGTACGCAGCCTCCTCTGCTTCACTTGCTAATCCTTCTATGTAGTTCTTTTTATCTGTCCTTATACTACGTTTAACTTCTTTATTTGCTTCTGAGTATTCTGTTGATGCTCTGGCCTTTTCGGTTCTGGTGCGGCTATTGTTTAGATTTGCCTTCTTCTTTCTCCTATATTGGATTTTTTCCATGGTTTCAGCCGAAATCCATTCTTTATGCGTTTGTTGCCTAGGGCCCAACACTTCTTCACAGGTAGTCGTGAATATCTCTTTGATTTCTTTCCAGTTTTTGTCAATTGTTTCTTCATTGCCTAGTTCCTGTAAGATCTGGAACTTATTGGAGATGGTAAGTTTAAACTCCTTTAGCTTGGACTCATCTTTCAAGAGGTTGATGTTAAAATGTTGGCGCTTGCTTCCCTCGCTTGTCCAGTTCTTTTTCAGTTTCAGCCTTAATTTGGCAATAATTAGATGATGGTCTGAGGCTACATCTGCCCCTCTTTTTACCCTAACATCTTGGAGCGACCGTCTAAACTTATTGCAAATACAGAAATGGTCAATTTGGTTAGCCGTTGACATATCTGGTGAAATCCATGTGGCCTTGTGGATATTTCTATGCATGAAGAGGCTTCCTCCGATGACTAGTCCAATTGTAGCACATAGATCTGCTAGTCTTTCACCATTTTCATTCATCTCTCCCATACCATGTGTTCCCATGCATTCTTCATAGCCTTTATTGTTGCTGCCTATTTTCGCATTTAGGTCGCCCATGAGTATAACCATATTGCTCTTAGGACACCTTTGGACCAGGGTTCGCAGTCTGTTGTAGAAATCCTCTTTGTCCTCTTCTTTACTATCGTTGGTAGGAGCGTACACCTGTAGGATGTCCATATTGATTTTTCGTTTTTTTGTCTTAAATCTTGCCGTGATTATACGGGAACCATGCGCTTCCCACCCTATAAGTGCGTTCTGGGCAGTTCTGGAAAGCATGAGTGCCACTCCTTGGTTGTGCGCCGCATTTTCATCTTCGTGGCCTGAATATAGCAGCAGTTCCCCTGTGTTGAGCTTTATCTGACCTGAGCCTATCCATCGAGACTCACTTATTCCCAAGATGGCTAGTTTGTATCTTTGCATTTCAGCAGCAACTTGGACAGTTTTTCCAGTTTCGAACATGGTCCTTACGTTCCATGTTCCTAGACTGGTGGTGGTCCTAGTGGAGAGGATGGTTGTCCGCCGGTTGGTTTCCAGTTGGCTTTGGCCACCCAGCTTCATTAATTCTCTGTTAGGAGACCCATCCTTTCCAAGGTCCGAGTTTCCTTTTGAAATCTTTCTTTGTGTTTTTGTAGCAGGGCTTTTTTTACAGGGAAGGGTTGCTAGCCCTTCGCCCAACCCTCCTCCTTTCTCACCCGGGCTTGGGACCGGCTACGGCGGAGTTTGAAATTCCCAGGATCTTGGGAAAATTCACAAGGTTTGGCAGCCCTGGCTGTGTGTCGCGTGTTGGTTTCGTTTATGAAAAACGGAACTGTCATAGCGAGCTCAGAACATTAATATGGGAGTACTATGCATAATAAATTGCGTTGATTTACTACGTCAGTTGGCTTACAAATAGAAGTCAATGTTTTGTTAAATTTAACATGACTATACCCCGCCCCGGTGGAAAAGGGGGGGGGGGATGGCGTCATCAAAATTTTGTTTCCAAATCTTACAAATGTTTCTTCAATTTAAAAAAAAAAAATTAATGAATAAAAATAAAAGTTGTTAAAGATCTAACTAAAATAACCGATATACAATTTAAGTTAGGATAATTTATATCCCTTTATACCATTGATGCGACCTCTGAGTCAGATTATTTGTGCATACATCTTAGTGTGTTGAGTTGCAAGCCGGCCATCGTCCAGCAGTGGTGGTCTGTCCGCAAACTCCCTGCACACCTGTGACGTTCCTCATCCCTCTGATGAGATTCGAACGTCTGTTTGAAAGCTTTTTTTTAAACGGATCTCAAACCGCCCCTGTTTCCAATGTAAATTCTTCCATGCAAGTGCAAGCTGTTCCTTCTAAAGCTCCTTAAAAGATTCATGGGCCGGGGGGGGGGGGAGAGAGGAATGGAGGGAAGGGGGGAGAGATATTTCCCATGGGCAAAAGAAAAAAAATGTCGTTCCCAAACGTAGTTGTCTGGAAAGGATCATGACCCAAATTCTCTCCACACTTCCTCTTCTGTTCGCTTCTACCGGGGAGGCGCCGCGGGCAGGTACAGCCAGTTGCAATTGCGATTATTAGCAAGGCAGGGGCGTCATTTCATTTTTTTTTTTCAAAAGGGGGGTGGCAAACCAAAACTAGGTCAACTTGTTAAGTTGTTTATTACTGGAGGCGCCACAGTACAAAGCAATTAAAAAAAACCTGCAAATTCCGGGGGGGGGGGGGATATGCCCCTTGCTCTACCAAATGACGTCCCTGCCGCAAAGTGTGATTTGCAATAAACATTATTGTTTGTAACGTATGGTCTTGCTATTTTACGACAACTACTACTCGATATCATCTCCAACTCTAAATTTCTTTTCTCGGTGATTATACAAAAAAAACTATTTTTTAAAAATTAAAAACAATAAACTCTGCTCATAACTAATCTGGACTTAGGTCAGTTGAATCAGATTGTTCATGTTTTTTTTTTTTATGTAATACTTTGAAATAGAGATAAAGAATGTGTTTTGGTCTAAAAACCTGCTGGTCCCAATTCCATTGAAGTTTTTTTGTTTCATTTGTTGTATGCTGTAGATCAGGCCTGCACAACACACGGCCCGAGGGCTGCATGTGGCCCGCCAGCACCCACTGTGTGGCCCGCGAAGTAACGAAATATTCTTTATTCTTATTATTTTCTTAACAGCTTTCCCACTGACCTATATTCTTTTTGGCCCGCACAAGTCCTGTCCTATTTTCGTTTGGCCCGCACAAGTTTTTCATAATAATGTTACGGCCCGCCTTATATTTTGAGTTGTGCAGGCCTGCTGTAGATGTTAGAAACAATCGCGACCTGTAGACTCACTCCTAAGGAATGCACTGTTTTTAATTGTTTTCATAATTTTTAAATAGTTAGATTGAATGAATAGGATGAAAGATTATCATTTTATAGAACTTTTATGTGAGATTATTTCATCATCATCATCAGTGGCGCTACAGCCCATGTAGGGCCCTGGCCTGCGATCCATGGCTTTCCGCCTCCATGCACGAACCCCCAAATGGTGTATATCCATCTCCACATCATGGATCCATCTCAGCCTTGGGCGACCGGTGAGTCGTCTGCCCCTAGGCTTCTGCCTGTATATAATTTTGGCTGCTCTGCATTCCGGCATCCTTTCAACATGCCCTGTCCAGCGTAGTCTGCCCTTTTTATCATTATGACTATGGGTGCGTCTTTGTACAAATGGTAAAGTTCTTGGTTTTGTACGGATTCTCCAGATATCATTTTCAATCATTGGGCTGTATATTTTTCGGAGGACTTTCCTCTCCCATGTGTTGAGCAGGTTCTCTGCTTTTCTGGTAAGGGTCCAGGTCTCACTAGCATACGTTACTACATGTCTTATGATAGTGGTGTATATTGTCTTCTTTGTTCCCCTTGAGAAGTTTTTGCTTTGCAGTAGCTTTTGTAAGCTGAAATAGGAACGGTTGCCTGCTGTTATCTTTTTTTTCGCCACCGACATTTCATTGTGCTCGTTTATAGTTGCCCCTAGATATTTGAATGTAGCCACTCTCAAATGTGTGGTTGTTTATTGATGTTGTCATCAGCATGGGAGTTTCTTGACATTATAATATATTTTGTCTTCGGTTCATTTATATCAAGACCAGCTTTGACTGAGGCATTTTCAACTAATTATGTCTTTACGTTTTCTACCCAGTAGCGCTATATCGTCCGCATATGTCAGGTACTGCAATGGTTGGCTATATAAGGTTCCTGATGGTCGTTGTTCTGTATTATCTCTCTGGAAGTAGTTTGTTATGGTTCCACTGGTGCTAATGTGTATGCTTCTAATAACTTTTTCTAGTGTGATGTTAAACAGGATAAATGACAGTGAGTCTCCTTGTCTGAGGCCCCGATTAACTGGGAACTCCCTTGAATATTCTCCCTGCACCTTGATTCTACTTTTGGATTTGGCCAACGTCGCATTTATGAGTCGAGTAAGCTTGTTAGGGGCTCGAAGTTCTTTTAGGGCGTTGTATAAGTAATTCCCATTTACGCTATCGTATGCTGTTTTGTAATCCACATATAGTTGGTGTATGTCGATGTTACATTCGTAACATTTCTCCAGGAGACTTCTTATATTAAAATATGATCCGTCGTTTACTTATTCTTTCGGAATCCGCATTGATAGTCCCCTAGGATCTGTTCGCTATACTTTTCTAATTTTCTCGCTCTAAGTTTTGTGAGAATTTTGTACATTACATTAAGTAGGGAGATTCCTCTATAGTTTGAGCAGATTAACTTAGATCCTTTTTTTGCAAAGTGGGCGTATGAGTGTCGTGTCCCATTCAATTGGCATTTCTTCCTCCTTCAAGATTCTGGTTATAAGTTCGTTACCACCTAGCTTTATCAGTTCTGCATAAATAAGGTCTATTCCTGGGGCTTGGTTATTTTTCATGGTGGAGATTACATCTTTTATTTCATTTAATGTTGGTTGGTTGACCAGTGGGTCCGGTCCTCCTTGTGGCGGAGCGTAATCCTCATTGGTTCCTCCACCTGAGCCATTCAGTAAGCCTTCAAAGTGTTGTGCCCATCTCTCTAGTACTCTGCTGCTCTCTGTGCCCATCTCTCTAGTACTCTACTGCTCTCTGTGCCCATCTCTCTAGTACTCTACTGCTCTCTGTGCCCATCTCTCTAGTACTCTACTGCTCTCTGTGCCCATCTCTCTAGTACTCTACTGCTCTCTGTGCCCATCTCTCTAGTACTCTACTGCTCTCTGTGCCCATCTCTCTAGTACTCTACTGCTCTCTGTGCCCATCTCTCTAGTACTCTACTGATCTCTGTGCCCATCTCTCTAGTACTCTACTGCTCTCTGTGATCAATTCTCCACCCGTACTTTCACACATGTGGGATCTTGCTTCAAAGCCATTCTTTTCCTGCTTTACCTTCAGGTACATTCCCCTCACATCTATTTCTTTTGCCAACTCTTCTATCTCTACTATTTTTTATTTTTCCCAACACGTTTTCTGCAAATTTTGCTGGCCACCCTTCTTGCTTCATTATATAATTGTCGTGTTCTTCTTGTCTCCCTTTGTAGCATAATTAGCCGAGCTTTGTTTCTTTGTTCTATAAGTTCTTTGCATTCTGCAAGATTATTTACATTTTTTTATCATCATATACATTCATGTTTTGGTTAAATTTTAACTTCTGTAAAAAATAAAAAATAAAGTAATTTAAATAAATTGAAGAACTATTGACCAAAAGACTCGTGCGGAGATACTGATCTTCCATCGAGCTCCTCCCCAGGTGGCGGATAGGGGAAAGCCCACCAGATATGGAGGGTGTCAGGGAAATATAATACTTGGGGCGGACCAAAATCAGAACCTACTGCCTTGTAGGAAGTGGAGGGATCCACAAAGGCTAGGGAACCTTACCCAAAAACTAAGGCAGCTATCCAGAGAGCTGTAAGGGGCAACCCCCCCCCCCAGATGGTTGTGCGCAGGGTTAACAACCGGCCACGTAAAAAAAATCAACGTTACAAAAGTCAAGCAACAGAACAAAACCCGGACCGATACAAATGGAAATCGACCTATGCATGGATATGGACATGATTTTTGGATTGCGACTTGGAATGTACTAAGCCTGTTTAGAGCAGGAGCCTTAGCCAACCTTGTAAAAAAGGCTCAAAGGCAGACCTAGGCTTAGGTGGATAGATGATGTAGAAAAAGATCTACAGCAACTGAAAGTCCAAGCATGGAAAAGAAAGGCAATAGTTAGGTCTGAGTGGAAGGAAGTGGTGAGGCAGGCCAAAGCCCTACATGGGCTGGATTGATCAAAATATTCTTTTTTTTTAAATTTATTATTTCAATTATTCGGGAAACAAATATTTTTTCAAGGCACCGCAGGAGAACACGGCGAAAAATGATCATTAAAAAATCTGTTATAAGTCATTACCACCGTTTTGTAATGCTGGGTTTCAATGCGTTTATCAGAACTCCACACTGAATAAAACAAATAAAATCATTTAAAATAATAAAATATATACAATTTATTGATCAAACTTATGTTAACACGACAAAATGGTGGAAAGTAGACTTCCAATTTCTCAAAAAAAGTTTTGGTTATAGACACTTGTATAGACACAAAAGTTGTGGCTATAGTACTTATATGCACAACATTTGTGGTTCTATCGCTCAAGCAAAAGTTGCGAAGATTTCAACACATGAAATAGAATCTGCGTTGCGGGTGAGATTGGCGACGGCGTGGTAATCTCCGGCAGGAAACAGTGGTATTTCCACGTCAAACTCAGCCGTGGGAAGAGTATATGAGCCCTGCGGGAAGAAAACAACATTGGCATCACAATGTTTACAATACTATTGAATAGGAATCGAATTATTATTTTTTTTTATAGGTCTTTGAAGATTTAATGTATCAACCAAATAATCTTGACTGTATAGAAGTACTACACTAGCTATAACGCTAATCTAAAGTTGGCATGAAATGATGAATATACAAACTACAAGTTGTTGAGTAGTTAGCCCTTTCCAAGACCGGAAAATGTCACATCGCATTCAGTAATGCTTATATTTTTAGAAAATACTTTCGTAAAACATAGCTTCGAACAATGTATTTCCTCATATATAACTACAGAAACAATTTGTTTGTAAAGTCTTTCGTAAAATCAAGTTGTAAACACCTTTTCGTCTAGTTTAAGACCCACTCTGCTGGCCGACAGTAACGTAGAAGTGCTGAACAGCTGTTGAGAGCTTGGCCAAACGGAATGCCAGGATGTTTTTATTAATATCTTAATGCCATTGGCCAGACTGTACGCTGGCATGTTCTATTAATAGATTTCTGCCACTAAAGGACAAACCCTATTAACTATGGGCTGTTTTGTACGATTATGGAAACCACTGGTCTAAAACAGGCATGCACAACTTAAAATGTAAGGCGGGCCGTAATACATTGTGAAATACTTGTGCGGGCCAAAAGAAAATAGGACAGGGGCAAAGCTATTAAGAAAACAATAAGAATAAAGAGTTTTCGTTAACTCGCGGGCCACAAAGTGGGGGCTGGCGGGCGTATGTTGTGCATGCCTGGTCTAAAGCAATAATAAATAACACGGTCGTAATTACGAAAACAACAGTATCCGGTTTCAACGCGTTCAACATAACAAGGAGAAGCAGTGGTGTGGGGACAGGGGGCTCGAATCCGTTGTTTTTTTGTTTTTTTGGACATCGTAGGAACGTCCTGTATAAATGAGCAACCTACCTTTTGGAATGGACATTGACATGGCACGCCTGCGGTGACGAACTGGGGTGGACATTCGGAGATCAAGGCCAGTAGCGCACATACGTCGTCATAGGTGCACGACCCGATGATACCAACACAAGGGATCTTGAGCCACGAGTCACCGACCTTCTTGGCTAAAAGCAGCTGACCCTGGAGACGAGCATGGCGTCAATATCAGTGCACAAGAAATATGTGTGGACGTGTGAAACAATTTGCACAAAAAGGTCTTCACAATTTTTGGGGACTTTTGGGGTAGACACCTTAAGTCATTTAATACGACTTTGGAAATTGTGACTGACAAGACTATTACGGATATTATTTTAAAATACATTACAGTAGGGCATTCGAAATTGGTTTTATCCCATATTTTTGACAGGCAATCGACTATTTCTACTTTACTGCACAGCTATTATGATGTAAGATACTCTTACATTTCCTCAAGTTATATGATTTTCATTATTTTATGTTATTTTATATGATAAAAATTTAAATCCAAAATTGTGTCATTCATGTCGCTCATATTTTAAAAAAAAATTGTTCCCTTCGATGCCCTTAAAGTTTGCCGTTCAATTTTTTTTACGAAACTTTTAACAAAAAAAAAAAACAACAAACAAACAAACAAAAAATGCAATATTAACTTTTGTTTAGAGTAGTAAGATAAATTTTTTAAAATTATGATTTGATTTTTACCGAAAGGAGTCAACGTACCAAATATATTGATTAATTTTCTATCCATCTAAATTATTTCGTGATTATTACTCACGTATCTCTTGTCAATGCAATGTCTGATAGATCCCATAGTGGTAAGAAGAGTTCAATGTCTGATAGATCCCATTGTGGTAAGAAGAGTTGAAGTGTTTCAAAACTGGATCAAGAGCTTTTTTATTTATGTTATACACAGGGCGTCATTTGGCTAGGGAGCTAAGTCACTTCCCGGCTATGGAGTAGTTTGGTGAGCTCGGGGAGGTTCCCTCTGACACCATTGCAGTTAAGATACATACTTACTAAGTTTTTATGGAGGTGACCAGTGGCACATTGCCTAGTGTTCCCAGTAACATCAGGGCCCACAGTCGGTTTTAGCCCCATCACCGATCTGCAGGGGAGAATGGGGTTTCGAATTCACCTCACCAAAGATTTCCGTTAGATTTACTAGCCATGTTTAATGAAAATAGTGACTAGACTGGTTTCTTTACCTTCTCACAGATGAAACGTGATTGGCTCCCATTTTTTATTGTTATGATCATAATGTCACGCTATTGATCCAACATCCTAATTCATGTATGATCTTTTTTATATTTGACTGCTTATACAATTAGAATAGTCCTACTTTATGAGTGAAACGTTAATAAACAATAGGATCTGAATCTTTTATAAACTGTTATATTATCTTATCAAAGTAAGAAACGTGATTGTATCATAACAGGCAAACACGAACAAACGAAAAACAAAATAACTCCTTGAAGTTCTTTNTTTATATGTTGATTTATTACTTGTATATGTTGATTTATTACTTGTATATGTTGATTTATTACATGTATATGTTGATTTATTACATGTATATGTTGATTTATTACTTGTATATGTTGATTTATTACATGTATATGTTGATTTATTACATGTATATGTTGATTTATTACTTGTATATGTTGATTTATTACATTTATATGTTGATTTATTACTTGTATATGTTGATTTATTACTTGTATATGTTGATTTATTACATGTATATGTTGATTTATTACATGTATATGTTGATTTATTACTTGTATATGTTGATTTATTACATTTATATGTTGATTTATTACTTGTATATGTTGATTTATTACTTGTATATGTTGATTTATTACATGTATATGTTGATTTATTACTTGTATATGTTGATTTATTACTTGTATATGTTTATTTATTACATGTATATGTTGATTTATTACTTGTATATGTTGATTTATTACATGTATATGTTGATTTATTACATGTATATGTTGATTTATTACATGTATATGTTGATTTATTACTTGTATATGTTGATTTATTACATGTATATGTTGATTTATTACTTGTATATGTTGATTTATTACATGTATATGTTGATTTATTACATGTATATGTTGATTTATTACATGTATATGTTGATTTATTACTTGTATATGTTGATGTATTACATGTATATGCTGATTTATTACATGTATATGTTGATTTATTACTTGTATATGTTGATTTATTACTTGTATATGTTGATTTATTACATGTATATGTTGATTTATTACATGCATATGTTGATTTATTACATGTATATGTTGATTTATTACACCCAGTGAAACTGACCAAGTTCAAAGCTTAATGTCCACATGAATTCGATCATGTCAGACCACCATCCATCCCTGTGGCACTGTATCACTACATACCAGGCCCACTAAAATATAGTACATGTTACATATCCGCAACTTAGCCCACCAGGAACAATTTACAACAGTTTTTTTAAGTTTATCAGTCTAATCAGATACTCAGGTGACCTAATGATGCTGAGACGTGCGTTAGTACGGCCACTTTCACGTTGAATCCGTTCGGTTTCAAGTCAATCTCTAACGTCGGCCACGTTCTTAATTAACACGAAGTCCTGTGGTGAGGTGTGATGAGGATATGTAGATATATGTAGACATACTGAGTTCTGTGTTATACTAGCCAACATACCCGGCGTCTCTCAGGTTTGCATTCGGACAAATCTTCTGAAACGTTATCAGCGAACACATAAATTTAGGGCCCCTTAAAATTAAAAAAAAGAAGAAAAAAAAACATTCACTGAACTACTAATCAATTGTTAAAAATCCCCCCAAATAGTCCAGTTTATATTTCTTTACAAACATTCAATTTGGACGCTGCTGGTTTCAGTTAATAGTCAAGCTGTGTCAAGACCCCCCCAAAAAAGAAAGAAAGAAAGAAACACGCTTCAAGGACTAGTCGAACTGTAAAAAAAATATCTTCTTTAAATAGGTATTGACCAATGCCAAGTATATGGTAATTTATCAATAAACGTAAATTACAATTCCTAATGGGGCCCTATTACTTATTCCTTAATAAATAGGGGCTTTATAAAAAAAAATTCATTTATTTAAATATTCATGTTACATTTTATAAACGTCTCCCATTACATCGGAAAGATTTTGCCAAAGTTATTGCCTTTTAGTTTGTTACTATTATGGGGCCCAGCGCCAAAAGGATTTATGCTTAAAAGTTTATTGCAGTGCGTATTTAAGTTTGGAAAATGCACAAAGTTTATGTTCAGTTTGTTCCATTTAAATCGGTTGAAAAGTTCCAAAGATATTAGCGTGATTTTGTGTGTGTGTTTTTTTTTTTACAAAATAAAATTGGGATGCCCCTGTCCACAAAGAATGGGATATTATTAGTTTAAAATCCGCCGATATTTTTAAAGGGGTTATTTATGAAAGGTGTGTGTACCAAGTTTGGCCTAGATGCAACAATTGACGTAAAAGCTTGCATTGTAATCTGAGCCTTCTTATACTGCTTTGGCTGCTTTAAGGAAAATACCATTTAGAACCTCATTTGGAACTTTCTAGAAAGGACTGCAAACCCCTTCGGTAGGTTAAAGCACCCATTATGCACGTCGCTGCACAATGTGATCATTCTCATCTAATGTTCGACCCCCAACCCTCTTATACCACGCAATGAACTGTAGTTTATTAAAATTGTTCAACAGGTATTTCCTTATATCTAAAAATTAGGATTTGATTCAACAGCTCATCTTTTGTTGGAACAATTATTTCAAATATGTTTTGAAAGCACTCTGTTCAGCGAATATAGAATAAAACTTTATTTAAAATGTGTGCACACGACAAAAGCGCACCGAAAACCTTCATGTTTGAAAGCGCACCGTTCTGAACATAGGCTTATTTAAAAATGCGTGCACAAAAAAAAAAAAACTTAACTTGACCGCCCCTCGAAGCCATAGAAACATTTTTGTTACTCTCTACCTTCTACATTGTACGATTTAATTTTTTACAGTTTTTGGGTCATAGGGATTTTAAACAAACTTTCCAGGAGGAACCTCGTGTAGGTCAGGAGGTATGACCATGTCAAATTTGGTTGCGATCCATTGTTTGGTTTACTTGTTATCAAGTAACAAATAACAAGCATACATACATACAAAACATAGTCACACCGAGAGAGAGAGAGAGAGAGAGAGAGAGAGAGAGAGAGAGAGAGAGAGAGAGAGAGAGAGAGAGATTATAGTAATTGTCTTATAGTATAATATAAAGTGTTTATATTTAAACTGAAAATGCGAGAAGTCACTTGGACGGTATCTCGGAGATTTTTGTCACCGCGCCAAAGAAACATGATAATAGAACTTTGTTGACTACCTTAATCGGGGCGTCGACCAGGGTCTTGATGTTGACTGAGAACTGCACATTCAGTGGTCCCGGGAAGGTCAGTGGGTCAGGTCCGATCACCAGCTGTAACAGGTTGGCCAGGTCGGTGCTGGGGTTACCGCAGTTGACGTACTTGTAGGTCTTCAAGCCGGGGACTTTACTCAACTGAACAAGATCAAAGAAATACTGTTAACAACACTAAAACCGCGAGATCCAGCTACGCCTGACGGGTTTCAAACATTACGCCAACGTAGATAAAATATAAAACATTGCAGAGTTCCAACATTAAGATAAGGGACTGCTATTTTTATACCATGGAATTTCAGTGGCAAGATTGTTGGGCCGATAAACCATCTATATTTCATATATATATATATATATATATATATATATATATATATATATATTGCTTCATGCGTGTCCTGCAACCTTTTCACAACCGGCCCTCCCCCTCTCATGTTTTATATTTATGTTACTTAGGAAAAAATATATATATATATATATATATATTGCTTCATGCGTGTCCTGCAACCTTTTCACAACCGGCCCTCCCCCTCTCATGTTTTATATTAATGGTACTTAGGGAAAAAAGGATGCCACGCAGTGAGCAGTGAGCGCCATGCGTGACGGTAGAACTCAGGTAGAACTCAGGTAGAACTCAGGTAGAACTCAGGTAGAACTCAGGTAGAACTCAGGTAGAACTCGGGTAGAACTCGGGTAGAACTCGGGTAGAACTCGGGTAGAACTCGGGTAGAACTCGGGTAGAACTCAGGTAGAACTCAGGTAGAACTCAGGTAGAACTCAGGTAGAACTCAGGTGGAACTCAGGTGGAACTCAGGTGGAACTCAGATAGAACTCAGGTAGAACTCAGGTAGAACTCAGGTAGAACTCAGGTGGAACTCAGGTAGAACTCAGGTAATAGTTTTAGTCTTGGGTGAAATACTTTTTTAATTTTAACACATTGAGAGAACAGCGTAACGAAACCTTATATATATACCCCAAAAATATTGTTAAAAAAAATTATTCATTTACTATCTACCTACCGTCGATTTGTCCGGTTTGCTCATGAGCAGGTCAAACAGCATGCGCTGTGCCTCTATCTCGTTGTAGCGGACTTTACATTCGCCAGTAGTGGACAGGGTGGCCACCAAAATGGTGGCTAGAGTGACGACAGCGAACTTCATGTTGAAAGGCTCTCAGGGTTGTGCTGCAGATTTCGGCAAGGACAAGAGTGTCTTCATTAAAGTTATAGCTTATCAGATCACGAGTGATTATCTCGTCTTGGCGGTTCTCAAGAAGGGTATCTAGATCACACGCTGCTTCACGCAAGTCCAAATGAGGGTGAAACCCTTTTATCATCTCAATAGTTTTTCTCCCAGTCTTAATAACATGTTGACGGGTACTTGCGTTTCACTTCTGCTCCTGAGCCCTTCATGAATTCATGAGATCTTCTGGTGACAACATATGGAGTTCCTCTAGTTAATCTACACAGCCGATCTAACATTTCATGAATTTACATCAACAACCCATCCATGTAAGCCAAGCCTGCCTCACTACTTCCTTCCACTCAGACCTTACATCCATCCCTGTGCCGCTACAGCCCATGTAGGCCAAGCTTGCTTCAATACATCCTTCCTCTCAGACCTAATTAATGCTTGGATTCCCAGCAGCTGTAGATTCCTCTAAATTGTCCATTTACGTAAGCCTAGGTTTGCCTTTTGAGCCTGATCCCTCTGGGGTTTTGGTGGTGCACCCTCTTCACTTCTCTGTCATTTGGCATTCTTTCTATGTGTTCAGCCCAGCGTATCCTAAACTTTTTTCATTTCTGCTACTAGCGTGGGATCCAGTAGATTTATCAACACTATATGTATCAACAATATATGGATCAACAACAGATGTCTAAATTAAAGATCATTGGATAATTGTATCACATAACTTCTGTCCACTGAAGACGTCCATTAAAATATGGTTCACTATCAAAGATTTAATGACACTTGGCCCATATCCTTCTTTACCTACGTTCTCTTGAATTAACGTTTGTCACCCCTGGAATCATTACAGGAATTCCAACAGGATCTGTCGTGGGACTTGAGATTTAATTAAGATCCTGCGTTTTCCTGACATTTAGTTTTAGCGCCCTTTAATTCTTAAACAGCCAAGGAGCAGGCTCTATGAAAAATAGGTCATCTCTATCAAGATCAAAAGTAATACGTGACCAATCACTCCTGTTATCTAGGGAACCGCTTGGCTGGTTGAATTTGTTGTTGTTGTTGAAAACCTAGGAACCGCTGGCGATTAAGATTAATTAAAGATATTAACAAAAAAAAATTTAAAAAAAAAAATATATATATATATAATTAGATTCAAGGACATGATTAGAGCGCCGAATCACGATAAAATGTATCACAGAAATGTATATCTCATTAAGTTTTGATAAAATGGTGTACCAAGATTTTAAATGAATCTTGCTTGTCTCCTTTTAATAAAAAATCCAGGTCGATAGTGTGTAGATGGTAGAGTTTGGTATGGGATGGTGGGATACCGAGAAGAGTAGGGAAGCACGTTGGGGATTAGATAGAGGGGTGTACTTGTGTGTGTACATAAGGGTGTAAATGTGGGTGTACGTGGGGCTGTACACAGGGTGCACATTGGTGGTGTACATAGGGGTGCACATTGGTGGTGTACATTGGGGTGCACTTTGGTGGTGTACATAGGGGTGCACATTGGTGGTGTACATAGGGGTGCATATTGGTGGTGTTCATAGGGGTGAGCGTGGGGGTTACGTGGATTGTACGTTGAGGTGCGTTCTGGGCTGTACGTTGGAGTGTTGTACGTATAGGGGATGTCGTACGTGGGGGTTTTAAGTGGGGTGTGCACAGGGGGGGGGGGTTGTTATACATAGACGTTCTATATTCAACTCTGATTTAATCCTTTCCTGGTGAACTACCTTTTAAGCTGAACGCAATTCGCCTGCGTTATTATTGGGTGTGTCTTACTCCCTTTGATCTTCTTTACCACAAACCAATCTATCGTCTGTTTCTTTACTCGAATGTGGTAGAACACCGTAGAACGTTTGAGTCACTATTACGATGCGTATTCTGACCTCGAATTTTCTATGGAATAGACTATAAATACTATAAATAGTGGCACGCATAAGGGAGAGAGAGAGAGAGACGCAGACAGTGTGAGATAGTTATTTTGGAACATGTGAGTGCTTTGTTTACAGTAGACTTCTTTCCATTATTGGTACCTTTTTTTGCACATTGTCTTTTACTCGACATTGTACTGATACCAGCCACACAATATACCGTAAGTTAATAGTTTTTAATTATGTATCTTTTTGACTTAAGTACTTTATTATGAACTTAATAAAACTTATTAATTTTTATTAGCCACTTTTTCGAGTATCGTATTTCTCTGTTATTGTCTTTGTCATTTGATATCGTCTTTTGTTATATATTTAAATAGGAGATTAATTTCTCCCTAGTGACAACAATGTGTAACAGGGTTCATGCCAATCAACAATTCAGAGTATTTAAATTATTATGGTGGAGTGAATGTCCATGTTTGTGTAGTGTAGGCGAGTACCCTCCACTGCTTGTGCAGCTCCGCGGGACTTGGTCCCAATAAGGTTTTAGGTATTCTACACATAATGAATAATCAATTTAGCTTTGCAAATAATTAAAATCTATTTATAGATTTCGCACTCCATTAAAAACAATGTATCACATTTGAATTAATCTCTCCGAGTGTCTAGCCGTGGCGGCCACCCCAGGCAGATAAGAGTGACGGAAGTGGGTTAACTGTGTGGACTCTGGTCATGAATAATTAATTAAATAAAATTCTACAATGAAAATCAATACGAGCCAGAAGATTAATTGAAATGATCTATTTTCCAACATAAATGAAAATCTGACCAGACTCATTTATAGACTACGGACTAATAAAAACAAATTACGGTAACAATGACAAAGTTTCTTGTCGATTTTTTCATTGGTCCTGTCTGCCGAGGAAGTCTCTAACCCGAAACGATCGTATCTTACAGTCCTGCCTTTCGATTCAAGCTTCGACCTACATTCTCCTACCATCTCCTTCTAAAAATAATTTAATACGTTAAAGTCGCCATCATCCTAGATCCTAATGAGGTTTAATAGTTTCAGCTGTTTTTTGTAACAAAATGTTGGATTGAAATCATACATACATCAAGCGTTTACCGCAAGAGTTAAAAAAAAAATAATATTCATCTAACGAATATTGCGCAGTGCAAGTCTTCTTATTAAGGTACTGACAATAAATCAGCGATAACCTCATCGTGTAGTGAGATAACTTCATCGTGTAGTGAGATAACTTCATCGTGTAGTGAGATAACTTCATCGTGTAGTGAGATAACCTCATTGTGTAGTGAGATAACTTCATCGTGTAGTGAGATAACTTCATCGTGTAGTGAGATAACTTCATTGTGTAGTGAGATAACCTCATTGTGTAGTGAGATAACTTCATCGTGTAGTGAGATAACTTCATCGTGTAGTGAGATAACTTCATTGTGTAGTGAGATAACCTCATTGTGTAGTGAGATAACCTCATCGTGTAGTGAGATAACTTCATTGTGTAGTGAGATAACTTCATTGTGTAGTGAGATAACCTCATCGTGTAGTGAGATAACTTCATTGTGTAGTGAGATAACTTCATCGTGTAGTGAGATAACTTCATTGTGTAGTGAGATAACCTCATTGTGTAGTGAGATAACCTCATCGTGTAGTGAGATAACTTCATTGTGTAGTGAGATAACTTCATTGTGTAGTGAGATAACCTCATCGTGTAGTGAGATAACTTCATTGTGTAGTGAGATAACTTCATCGTGTAGTGAGATAACTTCATTGTGTAGTGAGATAACCTCATTGTGTAGTGAGATAACCTCATCGTGTAGTGAGATAACTTCATTGTGTAGTGAGATAACTTCATTGTGTAGTGAGATAACCTCATCGTGTAGTGAGATAACTTCATTGTGTAGTGAGATAACCTCGTTGTGTAGTGAGATAACTTCATTGTGTAGTGAGATAACCTCATCGTGTAGTGAGATAACCTCATCGTGTAGTGAGATAACCTCATCGTGTAGTGAGATAACTTCATTGTGTAGTGAGATAACCTCATCGTGTAGTGAGATAACTTCATTGTGTAGTGAGATAACCTCATTGTGTAGTGAGATAACTTCATTGTGTAGTGAGATAACCTCGTTGTGTAGTGAGATAACTTCATTGTGTAGTGAGATAACCTCATCGTGTAGTGAGATAACCTCATCGTGTAGTGAGATAACCTCATCGTGTAGTGAGATAACTTCATTGTGTAGTGAGATAACCTCATCGTGTAGTGAGATAACTTCATTGTGTAGTGAGATAACCTCATCGTGTAGTGAGATAACTTCATCGTGTAGTGAGATAACCTCATCGTGTAGTGAGATAACTTCATTGTGTAGTGAGATAACCTCATCGTGTAGTGAGATAACCTCATCGTGTAGTGAGATAACCTCATCGTGTAGTGAGATAACCTCATCGTGTAGTGAGATAACCTCATCGTGTAGTGAGATAACCTCATCGTGTAGTGAGATAACTTCATTGTGTAGTGAGATAACCTCATCGTGTAGTGAGATAACTTCATTGTGTAGTGAGATAACCTCATCGTGTAGTGAGATAACCTCATCGTGTAGTGAGATAACCTCATCGTGTAGTGAGATAACCTCATTGTGTAGTGAGATAACTTCATTGTGTAGTGAGATAACCTCATTGTGTAGTGAGATAACTTCATCGTGTAGTGAGATAACCTCATTGTGTAGTGAGATAACCTCATCGTGTAGTGAGATAACCTCATTGTGTAGTGAGATAACTTCATTGTGTAGTGAGATAACCTCATCGTGTAGTGAGATAACTTCATTGTGTAGTGAGATAACCTCATCGTGTAGTGAGATAACTTCATTGTGTAGTGAGATAACTTCATTGTGTAGTGAGATAACTTCATTGTGTAGTGAGATAACTTCATTGTGTAGTGAGATAACCTCATCGTGTAGTGAGATAACTTCATTGTGTAGTGAGATAACTTCATTGTGTAGTGAGATAACCTCGTTGTGTAGTGAGATAACTTCATTGTGTAGTGAGATAACTTCATTGTGTAGTGAGATAACTTCATTGTGTAGTGAGATAACCTCGTTGTGTAGTGAGATAACTTCATTGTGTAGTGAGATAACCTCATCGTGTAGTGAGATAACTTCATTGTGTTGTGAGATAACTTCATTGTGTAGTGAGATAACTTCATTGTGTAGTGAGATAACCTCGTTGTGTAGTGAGATAACTTCATTGTGTAGTGAGATAACTTCATTGTGTAGTGAGATAACCTCGTTGTGTAGTGAGATAACTTCATTGTGTAGTGAGATAACCTCATCGTGTAGTGAGATAACTTCATTGTGTAGTGAGATAACTTCATTGTGTAGTGAGATAACTTCATTGTGTAGTGAGATAACCTCGTTGTGTAGTGAGATAAGAAATGCACTAAAACTAGTTCAACATAAACACCACACAGCTCACCAACCACAAGAAAATGAAGAATCATTTGGGGAAATAATGAAATCACCCATCCTACTACTTTAAAAATGAAATCACTCATCCTACTATTTAAAAATGAACTCATTTTCTCCATGTCCGCATCGATAACTTACGAAAGTGCATGTCCGAGAAGACGAATAAGTTATTATTTTATTGTTGTTGTTGTTTTTTTGTTTGTTTTTTTGGTGTTGTTTTTGTGTTTTTTTAAAAATCAGAGCATGTTTAAAAATTATGAAAAGCTTTTGCGCTGACCTGGGAAAGTAACCAGTTGGGAGGTCAGAGCAATTTTTTTTAAAATGGATTTCTCCACGTGATCCAAAAGTTAACTGCCTAATGGATGACGACTTTATATTAATCTTCCCACACACAAAAATGCTAACAGGTGAATCTGAAAAAGAAAAAAGGTAATTGTCGTTCGTAGCCGCAGCCGATAATGCGATCGAAAGAAATTTCGTCGACGGAAAATTGGTTGACGGAAATTTGGTCGAATCTTTTTTTTTCAGTTCACACATGAAAATTTTGCTTCAAATTTCTTTTTGACCGCACGTGTTTGTTTTACTATATAGTAAAGTGCGTTCAAAAAGAAATTTAACGAAAATGTTAAAGTGTGAACTGAAAAAAAGATTCCACAAAATTTCCGTTTGATCAAATTTCCGTCGATCATTATATTTCCGTCGACGAAATTTCTTTCGATCAAATTCCTTGTGACCGTCCGTAACAACTCAGGAACAGACACAATTAATGTCAGATTTTATTGAGAAAATTGCTTTTATGCCAAATGACTAATTAATTATATTTTTAAAAGAAATAATACCCCCCCCCCCCCACCCACCCTTTTCCCTTGTTAACTTATAAAATATATAAATTTACAAGGGGAGTAAAAGGCGAAAAAATAGGGCTTTAGTAATTCTTATTGATAAGCTCCCTTCAAATATTGAGGATTTTTTTCCTTAACAGACTAATTCATTCTTTAAAAGATTATAATCATAATACACATTTTGTAGCTATGGATTCTATGGAATGGTAAGTCTGGTCTAATGATACATACACATTTCGGATCTCTCGTTAATTCTGTCTGGCCAGTTAAAACACAAACAATAGTAAGTTATTTATTTTTACTCGTATAAATGATAAAGGCATAACTAATAAAAAAAAAGTCAAAACATTATGTATTTATTTTCAACATTATTTCGTTCCAGCTGTGTGGAAAAAGTATGGAGTTCAACACTGTCATTTGGCAGGAATGTTGAGACGCTCGCAAAATCTTGGCTATCATCATGGATGTGCCGAGCGATGTCTAGCAGTAGCACACGACGGATCGAAAAGGTAAAAGAGTGATTGTAAAGTCCCCTCCCCCCCCCCCCCCCCCCCCCAAAAAAAAAAAAAAACAAAAAAAAAAAAAACATTCCGATTGTTATGCATCATAATTGATCAACAAATATTTCGAATATGCCGTAACGCAACAGCTTACAAGGAATTGGCCATGGTTTTTTGAGAAGTGAATGTAACTATGAACTAGTTTTTGTTTTAAGAAAAATATAACACGCAAATTTTACAATGCAATACAATTTGTGATTAGAGCAAAATGTATTTTACGACATTGATGGAAACTTCGCCAACCAGTTTGTTAATTAAAAAAAAAAAAATGTTTTGGTCTTGACTTTCTACTTTTTTTTTTTTATTACAGATTCGTTTTGTTTAATGAAATCTCGAACCCAAAGAGCAAGCTGTGCGTTATTTTATTCTTAAGTTAATCTCTGACGTGTGTTCCGTGGAATGTTTAGTCTGTTTGCCGACCTTACTGAACCTTTCAAAGTGGGCACAATAGCAGTGGCGTGGCTAGGGCTAGTGGCCCCCGAGGCAAGCCAAGATATTTGCTGCCCCGTTTCATGAAAATAAAAACCGAAAATGCCGCCCCTCGATATAAAGAAAAAAAATGGCACTGGGGGTGGGCCGCCCCCACCCGCACCCCCTTCCTGCGCCACTGCACAAGAATACAGGAATGCCTCATATCCCTTATTCTTTTATAGATGGCTACTGACAACCCCACAGGACACATTACACAAGGGAAGAGAAGCAAGGAATACAGTGGGTGCAGACATCAGTGCTCAAAGACCAGGGTTACTCCAATGGCATTCGATTCATTCGAACCAATTTTCTTTAATTACACTTTTTTGTTGTTGTAAGTCTTCGAATTTGAACAGTTCAAACATGATTCACCTCATTACGTTTTTTTTTGTGACAGAATATTTATTTCTTTATTTCTTTAGGCATTTTTATATAGCGCTTACCTTAAAGCTCTAAGCGCTTTACAATTATTAAACACATGTAAACTAACTACAATAAAAATGAGACATATAGTGCGCCATTAAAATCGAGCATTGACTTATTTTATTTTTTAATATAGAAGCAGCTTTATTGTTCAAACCAGTATACAAATCCCCGGTTTATTCATGTGTAACTGAACCAATAAGTCATTTATTTATTATAAACTTGTCATCTTTATACGCATGTGCATCCCACCTTACCACGATTAATTAATTAATTTTTTTTTTGGTATAAAGCTTACACAATATTCATCAAATTTACATTTTTATACCACATGAATTGTGCAAATAGCCAACGTTAACCACACGAATTGTGCAACTAGCCAGGGTAAACTTAACGAGGCTATTTATTCTATGTGTACTCAAGATAATGATATCCCTCAGGCTTCTATCTGAAAACCCATTATCTTCTTAAAAGCTTTATTTCAATTAAGTGCTTGATTGTCATTCGGCGTCTATTGAGATAAGGCGCGGTGCGATTTCAAACACCAATGACAAACACTATTCGTGGTTGTGGAAGACTTGTAAAATCGTCAACTACGTTTGAGTTGTAGGCCTTGGCTGGATGCATACACACACACACACACACATACACACACACACACACACACACACACACACACATAGAGAGAGAGACACAGACACACACCGAGAGAAAGAGAGACACAGACACACACACACAGACACAGTCACAGACACACACACACCTATGAATCATGGAATGCCTTTCTTATTAATTAAATGTCAGCATGCAATGAACGTAGTTTGATGAACACATCACCGTTTGCATTAGTAAGTCTTGAATTTAGTCGCAGAGGCGTAGCGAGGGTATTTGTCGCCCGGGGACAAGATTCGCGCCCGGGGACAAGATCCATTTTAAAGCGCCCCTTTTTTCTTTTTTTCAACTCTCAAACCCGTTATTTTCATCAATAAAATAATATCAAAGCACATTTTGGCGCCCCTAACTAGCTGGCGCCCGGGGACATCTGTCCCCCCTGCACCCCCCTCGCTACGCCTCTGTTTAGTCGTGTCAATCTTAGATTACTTCAAGATTTCGACCTTTGTTTTAAGTAAGCATCCTTTGCGGTGTCTATTTCAACTTCTCTTCTTCTTCTTCTTCTTCTACATTTTGAGGGCCATGATCAATGAATTGATCATTCTGGATCCTATGTTTCAGAAGGGTTCGCGATGTTACTGTGCATGGTTTGGAAGAGGATACTTCACTGGTTGCAAGGGCGACTCAGCAATGGTATTATAAACTGGGGGTTGGAAGACATGAGGCAATAGACATAAATGTGTCGAGTGTAGTCGCCTCAACTGTTGCTTTTGTAAGCTTGTTACTGTCCTTTATTTTCTTTGGCAGGAATGAGGAGCTCCTATACCGAGTTTTTGTTTTTATTAGCCGGAACTGCATGTCGTGGCCTCGTCGCTGTCTAGGGGGGAGATGGACGAGTTTCTGTTTGATGCTGGAGCAGAGGACCAGACCATTTTTGATTTGTACAACATGGTGAGCCTGGATAGTCGTCATCGTTCTTCCAGTGGTGACCAGCCTAGTGTTTCTAGCATGCTGCCAACACTTGAGGTGTTTCTGTAGCGGTTTAGGACAAAGCGTGCTGCCTGTCGCTGGACCGCCTCCAATCTGCCGATGCTTTTCTGGGTAAATGGGTCCCAGATCATAGATGCGTACTCTAAAAGCGGCCAGACAAAGGCTATTTAGGCTTGTTTGCCCGGTTGCACACATTGTTAATGTGCTCGTCACAGCGGACTTCTCTTTGAATGGTAATACCCTGGTACCTAACGGAGGATTTTGGCTCGAGAATATGGCCATGCAATTCGTCAGAGTGTTGTAGAAGGGATCTGCCTCTAGAGACTTATAGGGTCTGGCACTTGACGGAATGAAATTCTATGTCCCAGCTCATCTCCCACTCCTAAAGAAATATTTTATCGACTTTGAACTTTTAGATACCCTAAACTTTCATTCCCAGATGGGTTTTTCAAAGACATCCTAATCATTAAATTTGAAGTACCCTCGAATGACGTGAAAAGAAAAATGTGTTGGAGTAAAAGAGCAATCCATAAGATAACAAACCATAAAATACAAAAAACATAAAATAGTGAAACCATAAGATAGAAAAGCAAAACGGTGTAAAACATCTTGGGTGTAAGTCTGTTCTCATTGCTGTTCTCACGGCTGTTCTCACGGTTTTATCCTGGCCAGTCTCATGTCGATGTGTACATGGAAAGTTCGACCCTAAATTAAACAACCACTAAAACAAAGTTTTTGGTGTACATAATTCACAAGCATTTTTTTATTGCTTTATTTTGTATTATATTCTAGTGGACCCACTCGCTTTCACACCACAGATTTATTTCACCAACTATTTCAGAAAACAAAAGAAAATATGACGCACCAAACGCACTTGAGATAGTTTTTTTAAAAGAATCTCATTTAGCGCAGTTATCGGGAATTCTATTTCGTAAAATACGTGTCATCCATATTACCTCCGTCTTCCTGTTGAAAACCGGAAAAAAATGATTTTTGGTTGTTGGGTGGTAGGGGCTGGACATTTAATAGAATGTGTTGTCATCGACAACGAGTCTATGTTCCAAGTTTTAGCTCGATAGGTTGACGGGAAGTGGGTCGATTAGCCGTCCGAAGATTTTTGCCAGCCACAAACAAACGTGAAGAATTTTTTTTAATGGAATTTTTTGCCTTTACCTGTTTATATACTCTATTTAATTTACCGTTAAACCCCTTTGCAAATAAGTTTAACTTACGCTGAACACGTCTGTGTATACTTCAATGGTAGGAGAGTCGTCTGCAAGACCAGTGCGCTTGGTTTTTAACGGCAGCCAGGAGTGTTTGATAATGTCATTTTGTCTGTACAAATAAATGACAGAAAACTCTCCAGACACGATGCCATTATGTGTGTCGAGACCAACATGAGAGAGATTGTGTCACTGCGTCAAAACGATAAAATTGGGCCCGCAGTTACCAGTGTATTAGTTAACATTGCAATACTTTACAGCTTGGATGCACTCAAAACTTTGCTAATGAGTCTGATATTGCGCTCCTGAGTCAGCTATTGCGCCCCTTTTTTTTTTACAAATTCGATCAAAATTGTATTTCATTTTATATCGTGCGATAACTGCAAATTGTCTAACATTTGTCCGTTCGCTCTCTTTACTTTGCTGTAGAAACCCATCTAGCATCATTTGTGTCGGTGAAGTACGGCGTGTAGATGAACTCTAGGAATAGACTAAACCAGACAGAGATCACTTGATACTAACCAACGTAAAGTCTAAACTGTTTGTCGTGCATTATATTTGTATTATTGGTGTTCAGAAATACACGGTTGAATCCAAAGAATTCTTGTCCTAAAGAATAGAAAAACGTTTCCAACGTCAGTGGACTACAAGGGATCCTTCAACTTTTATCTGGAGTGAATTGGTTTAGGGCCATTCCTGTATGTATCACAAATCAAACGAAGTTTGGCTGTTTAGTGAACAGGTAGCTGTTTAGTGTACAGATGGCTGTTTTGTGTACATGTGGCTGGTTAGTATAAAGCTGACTGTTTAGTGTACATGTGGCTGTTTAGTTTACATATGGCTGTTTAGTGTACATGTGGATGTTTAATGTACATATAACTGTTTAATGTATATGTGGTTGTTTAGTGTACAAGTGGCTGTTTAGTGTACAGGTGGCTGTTTAGTGTACAGGTGGCTGTTTAGTGTACAGGTGGCTGTTTAGTGTACAGGTGGCTGTTTAGTGTACAGATGGCTGTTTAGTGTAAATGTGGCTGTTAGTGTACAGATGGCTGTTTAGTGTAGAGATGGCTGTTTAGTGTAAATGTGGCTGTTAGTTTACAGGTGGCTGTTTGGCGTTCAGATGGCTGTTTGGTGACAGGTGGCTTTTTGTTTTACAGGTCACTGTTTAGTGTACGGGTTGCCGTTTAGTGTAAAGGTTGTTGTTTAATGTAAAAGTTGTTGTTCAGTGTAAATGTTGCTGTTCAGTGTAAAGGCTGCTGTTCAGTGTAAAGGTAGCTGTTCAGTGTAAAGGTTGCTGTTCAGTGTAAAGGTTGCTGTTTAGTGTAAAGGTTGCTGTTTAGTGTAAAGGTTGCTGTTTAGTGTAAAGGTTGCTGTTTAGTGTAAAGGTTGCTGTTTAGTGTAATGGTTGCTGTTTAAGGTAAAGGTTGCTGTTTAGTGTAAAGGTATCTGTTTAGTGTAAAGGTTGCTGTTCAGTGTAAAGGTAGCTGTTCAGTGTAAAGGTTGCTGTTCAGTGTAAAGGTTGCTGTTTAGTGTAAAGGTTGTTGTTTAGTGTAAAGGTTGTTGTTTAGTGTAAAGGTTGTTGTTTAGTGTAAAGGTTGTTGTTTAGTGTAAAGGTTGTTGTTTAGTGTAAAGGTTGCTGTTTAGTGTAAAGGTTGATGTTTAGTGTAAAGGTTGTTGTTTAGTGTAAAGGTTGCTGTTTAGTGTAAAGGTTGTTGTTTAGTGTAAAGGTTGTTGTTTAGTGTAAAGGTTGTTGTTCAGTGTAAAGGTTGCTGTTTAGTGTAAAGGTTGCTGTTTAGTGTAAAGGTTGTTGTTTAGTGTAAAGGTTGCTGTTCAGTGTAAAGGTTGTTGTTTAGTGTAAAGGTTGCTGTTTAGTGTAAAGGTTGCTGTTTAGTGTAAAGGTTGCTGTTTAGTGTAAAGGTTGCTGTTTAGTGTAAAGGTTGCTGTTTAGTGTAAAGGTTGATGTTTAGTGTAAAGGTTGTTGTTTAGTGTAAAGGTTGCTGTTTAGTGTAAAGGTTGTTGTTTAGTGTAAAGGTTGTTGTTTAGTGTAAAGGTTGTTGTTCAGTGTAAAGGTTGCTGTTTAGTGTAAAGGTTGCTGTTTAGTGTAAAGGTTGTTGTTTAGTGTAAAGGTTGCTGTTCAGTGTAAAGGTTGTTGTTTAGTGTAAAGGTTGC